AATTAAAAAAATTAATGACACATTAATATGGTTATTGCTTATGATTTCATTTATTATAGTTTTTTTAATTTTTAAAATTCAATTTGCCTTGTGGACACTAAGAGAGCTTTATTCCAATGCTAGGCCCATAATGGGAGCAACTGGATGGTGAGGGATGGAACCTAATGGGTTGCCAACTTTTTTAGCATAACAAATTCCAAACTTGAAAAAATAATGAACAAAAGAAAACTTACAATCAAACTTGGGAACATCTGTTCTTTCTCTTCATGATGGTGATGATGAGACAACTGGATAGCTGAGGCTATTAAGGCATCAGCTTATTGCTTTGGAACCAAGGATCAAATCTAGGCAATCAACTCCAGGAATTTTTTATGAGGAGTCCATTCTGGATATATTGGGCACCCGTCATTTATCACTGTCTCCTCCATTGTGGGCCTGGCTGAACCACGATAGGTTAGAAAAAAAAGCCTTATTAGTGCCCACAAGACACTAAGAAGACAGAATGAGACAGGCAGAAAAAGAAAAAAAAAAACAAAGCAGGAATGAAAATAACCAGAGCTGTAACTAGGATTTTGGATGCCTATGGCCAAGAATAAAAATGGCACCTTTTTAATTTTTATTATTAAAAAAAAATAATTTTATTCTAAAAAAATGCTATTATAAAAAATTATCTAATGACATTTAAATACTATATATATATATATTTTTTTGTGTTATTAATTTTGAATACATATTATTTCGAAACCTTCTTGTTGGTGCCTTTATTAAATCGGCACCTATGGTGGTGCCACATTGGCCATACCCTAGTTACGACTCTGAAAATAACTATTAGATTACAATTAGGGATGCCAACTTCTAATGAGGAAACACAGATGAGTTAAAAAACAATTCCAATTCCTCATTTGTTTTTCAGAACATTTCTGAAGAATTTTTCAAAAATAACTGAAATTCTGTAGTTTGGAAAATTCCAAACAATTGGCAATCCTAGATCTGACATATCTGGGTCAATCCATTCATAAAAATATTTGACCTTATCTGGACTCAAACCCGTTCATTCAGACTGACAGGGAGGCATCTTTATTGCTTTGGCCATTCAGCTATCCATTTATTATGGTTAAGTTTTCTGTAATAAAGTAAATGAATATTTTTATCTTGAATAGGTTTCTTATTCAATGAGTTTATCATCTTAATATTTTGTCAATTAAGATAGTTATATTCCTATTTTTAGTTTGTTTTGATACAAATTTTTAAATTGTGTCACCAGTTTTCACTTGATAAACCTACTGTAAAAGTGCTCATCTGTTCCAATTTTAAATTGTTTAGTATTGAGTTATATACTTGACCTATTTCCAATTTTTAAAAAATTATTCTTATTAACATCATATAATAAAATAAAAATTAGTTTCCATATTGAACGAATAAACATTCCCGTAATTTTAAAAATATCCAAGTTGCTCTGAGAAGAAATTGATTTTTTTTTTTTTGGCAGCTTAGACCTTCATAACACTTTTTATTGCTTTGAATAATATTAAAAATTAGATAAGAAAAAATTTGAAAATTTTTCTGTTAAAAGTAGTTGAAATATTGAATTGATGATGATATTTAGACTTCAAAACAGTAAAATACTTTAGTAAATAAATAATGAAAGATTAAAGAAGCACATTAATTAAAGATATGTTGAATGGGCTTGTGAATAGATTATTATATTATTAATAAAGAAGATGAACAGCCAAATAAGATATCAGTATCTTCAACACATCTTTAAAAAGAGTAATTAGTGATGAAAACAGTTGCTCTTTGACTAAATTTCTAAACTTAATTGATAAAAAATAATGAAATTTATGATATGTATACTGTTGTCAGTATCAGATTGTTAAGTATCTTTGTTTATTTTAACAAGTCATAAATCTAAATGCATTATTTTTATATATTTATGTCTTATTTTTCATTATTTTTCTTTTAATGCTAAAGTATTTTCTTTCATAATGAAAACACACATTAACTGAAGTTAAACTGCATTTAGAATATAAATAATTCAAGTTTTTGTGTCAAAATTATAACACTAAATACAAAAAATTATGCTAATAATGATTTATATATGTGTATTTTTATCTACTAATCACTTATTCAACCTTAAATAATAAGACTAATATTTTTATTAACAGACACACATTAGCTCATTTATCTGTTAAATGTATTTAAACTAATCCATCACAAAAGGAATATACATATTTGAAAATGTGAAGACATGTTTATAACTTATGACAAAAATACTATTGCTTTGCAAAAAATCTTTGTTTTTAGATTTTTGTGTTTTTTTGGTGATAAATAAATAACCTAAAAGTATTAAGGAAACAAAATTTATTTTGAAAATCAATTTATGTTTGAATAATGAATAAATACATTTTTTATAAATCTTAATGAATATAAATAAAACAGTATTTCAAATTATATTTGTATTAAATATTTGTAATTTTCACTTTTATATAAATACAGTTCATAATAATTTTTTAAAATAATGGAATAATTTAAAATAGATTTTTTTATTACAATTAAAAAATATTAATAGTAATATATTCTTAAAGTACCTTTAAAACTTTTGTTACATTTATCAGTTTAAGATAAAGAAAATTTTTTCAGTAAAGTTGAAATTCTCATTGAAAAGTGTGCACTTAGAATCATAGACAGAGTTGTGAGAGCATGGGTAGGCATTGTCCCCCAATATTGGGCAGGAAAAATTATTGAATTTTATCCCAGAATGCATATATTATTTATAGCTATAGAAGAAATAAATAATTACTTATAATTATTCATACCTATAAAGATCACTTAGAGTGACTTTTAGCAAAAAGCTTCTGGATTCTGTGATCATAATCCTCATCATTGGTCTTTATATTGTGCCTCTAAGAAATTTGTTAAACATCCAAATTTATAGATTTTTTTTCAGTTTATACAGTATAAATAGAATAAAATACTAAATATTAAAAAAATAAATTTATAAAAATTATTAAAATTTATGACTCGATATTAAAGTATTAGAATTATTAGGTGATTTATTAAATAGTTTAAATGATTTAATGCAAGAATAATAAGCAAAAATAAACCATAACATTGCAAACTATACGATTCCAAAACATTCCCGATAACAAAAACATAATTCAAAAGCTGAAACACATTCACACATCTCCATGGAAATCAAAATCTAAAATATAAAAATAAAAAACCTTGGAAAGTATAATTCCTTATATAAAGCTACAGATTTTCTTAATAACTAGATTATTAATTACCTAAAAAAGATATTATCCTACCTTGTTTTTTTTACCTGAAAATTTTATATATTACTTTGAGTTCTAATTACATTGAATTTCCCTTCCTCCAAGTAAATAAAAGAATTTTAAATAGATTTAAATCCAATTTCAACGTTATATCACAAATAGAAATGTAATTAGCATACCACAAAATACTAATTTACTATAATTATATTAAAAAAATAATCACTTCAATTCTTTTATACTGACATTAATCTGAACATTAAAAGTACATTTGAACAGAATATTGGCTATGATTACATTTAGTTGCAATTTGTATTATTTTATTATAAATAATTTTGCACTGTTTACTGTGAAGCAGTACAGTGTCATTGCATTTCACTATTGTTGATTTTTAAAAACAGATTTAAAGAAAATTAGCAATCATTTTACTTGATATTCACTTTTGTAATATAACCAGTTTGCTTTGTATGAGGGTGTTAAATTATTTATTAACTCCCTACAACATAAATAAACTGATTAAATGTATGTGTTTATTAAAACTGTATGAATTCATGGAAAGTACAAAAAGAAAGTTTGCATTGGTTTTGATTTTGTTATCACTCTACTAGTGCTTATATCTTACAAAGTGTTGCTGTGCATAAGGAAAAGAATCTTAATTACAGTCTTATATATTTATAGATAAACTTGAAGTACAATACTATTTGTATTTACTATATTAAAAATATTTATCACGCAAAAACAGACCTTAAATTTTATATTTGTAAGAAGCGTGAATAATTTAATGTGATATAATGCAGTTGCTACAACACTAATTATCATTGGGTTCTTAGTACCCATTTTGCTCCCATACCTGGTTTATGAAACTATATAAAGTATATTTTCAATGTATTGTATTATCAATATATAATGGAAGATTTTACAAAAAAAAATTAAAATCTTGTTATTTTCCCTTTTAAAAACATTATTAACTAACAGATAAAATTTCAAATGATCTTACTCTAAAAGGGCTGTGTAGGTGCATGAGACACTCTACAACAAAGATATTCCTATACAAGTTACTTGACAAAAATATTGACAAGTTCTGTACAGTTTATACTGTATATAATATGTTATTTCATTATATATAAAGTTGTATCATATATTAAAATTATACAATAAAATCATTAAAAATTGGCACATGATTATTGATTGAGTTTTATTACATTATCCCCACATTCAAATTTCATTCTGGAACTTCTGAATCTAAGTTTATATTATTACATCTAGTTTGATGATTAGTCTATAATCATATATAAACATAAGCTTGAAATATTATTATTGTAATGATATTTTGGATATAATGGTAATAGTTGAATATGTGAAATATCTGGAAAACAATTTGCTGTAAATATTAATTTCTTTTCTATCAGTTTTGTATGAAAATAAATTGCAATTTTATTGCCAATAAAGCATATTCATTTATGTATAATTTTAATTACTATTACTTTTTAAATTGACCTAGATAATTACTAGCATAAATAAACACAACTTTAAACATATACGTGGTATTGCAACAGATTCAAAATGTACATATACAAATCAATATATATTAAGTTTCTGAATATTATGTAGTAAATTATTAAATGAATCTATAATAAATATAATTATGTTACTGTCTTTGTGATATGTTTTTACTTCTAATATTTTATTAAAAAGTATTAATTTGTTGTATATGTTCTTAATATTTAGCATCCGAATTGGAATCAGTACGGCTTTTGTTTGCTGAGAAAGAAAAAGAATTGTCATCAGCAATTCAAAAAGTTGGTGATTTGACACTTCAGTTAGATGAGTTAAGGCAGGGAAATCTGAATGAACTCAAAAATGATAATGTTTCCATTTCTTCCTCAACTCAAGAGCTTGTTAAATTACGGCATGAGCTGTTGGTAAGGAAAGTTTTTACTCTATAGAGTTGATTAGAGATAAATATTATAAATGATGTAATTTTTTTTCATAGTATCATACAAAGTTAACTGAACAACAAAACACTCGAATAACACAACAGAGGAAACTCATAACACAACGTCAAGATGAAGTAATGCGTGCAGATCAAAGGATATGGGAACTGAAACAAAGACTGCATCGTAAACAGCTACATAATCAACAACTCTCCAAGCAATTACAGATGACAGTCACAGTTCCTAAACAAGGTGTTTCAAAACAATTGAGACCATTAAGCTGTAATGTTGCTGCAGTTGAACCAGTTAGGAGACCCCAAGAACCAGAAAGGTCTCAAGATGATATTCATGCAAAATTGACTAGTATTGATGATTTCAAAGAATTTTTTCCAAATAAGAATGATCCTAAGTATCAAACACTGCCTTATAATACTAAATTTGCTGTAAGAAATGGAACTCCTCCTGACGAACCTGATTCAACTGTACCTAAAGTGGATAATAGACCTGTGGCATTTATGCCACCTGATATTGAAAAGGGAAATATGCTCATTGCAAAAGCTGTTCCTGCTGGAAACATCTCCCCATCTAACGTTTCTTCAAATAAGTCTTATCCATCATCTAGGATAAACCATTTTACTCCTCGCCCTTATGGCCCTGTATATAATTTAAGTCAAGCCTCACCACTTCCTGTTTCTGGAAGTAATAGTACTGCTGTCGTTCATCCTGTCATAACAAGTAGTAATAATTATGTAAGTTTAATTATTTTTATTTTTTTAACATACTCTAATATAATACAGAGCAGTAAAGTGGCATCACTTTGTCACTTTGATTAAGTTTGATGCTAAGTTGTTTTATATTTTAATATTATTTTGTACAAGATTTAGGCTTTAATTATAAGTTTCGATTAATATTTACTTTCCAGCAACCATCCAATACTGCAACATCACTTCCCTACAGTCCAATTAAAAGCAATAATACATTCAATAGTAGTGTGAATCAAACAGAAAGAACAGAGAAATCTAATTATATTACAACAAATTCAACTATATCCACAAATTCAATTCCATGGGTAAAATCATTACCTGGAAAAAGTGAAAATGCCAAACTTTTACCTGAGAGCAGTTCATCTACACAAAACAAACCAATAGTTCCTCCTAAACCAGTAAAACCTCTTCCTCCTCCAAGGCAGATACATACAGAAGGAAATTCTGGAGATAAACAAGAAAATGTGGATTTAGCATTAGCTGTCCTTAAAAGTTCTGGATTAGAAAATACAAGTGGATTTAGGTAAAGAATTTTTTCTATAAAATCAGACTTTAATATCATTAATTTTGAAAACATCCTTTTTATAATGTTTGATATATAAAACTATCTGCAGATATTTTAAATTGAATATTTCAAAAATATTTGCTTAATATTATTGCTTTATTTTCTCTGAACAGTTGATTTATTTTTTATTTTTTCTATAATTTAGAAGCAACTTTAGATAAATATTAATAGTATTTGACTACAGTTTATTGGGGGAAAAATTATAAATCCTGAATTTGGTCTTTGGCATTGAATTTAATAATTAAATCTAAAATATAAGTAATGATGTGATCATATCTATGATTTTTTTGTGGATAGTTTTGATAATTTTCCTGAGAATAGTAGTATAATAGTGTTTTGAGTTAATAATTAAGAGATATGTTGTTTTATTTACATAGCAAGAATATAAGATAAAACTATTTTTCCAGTGTTATCTTGTAATTTATTTGAAAAATAACATTTTTCAATAAAGATCTAAGTATTTTCATTGACTTTTAATTACAATATCATCAGGCATTCATTCAATTTCATGTTTTTGTATCTACTTTCTTATTTCATGTTCAGATCTGTGACCTGTTCAGATTAAAGAGTAATTTAAACTAAAAATGAAAAAATATTTCCATATTTTATAAGTATTATATTTTGATACAATTTTAAAAACATAAAACATTTAAGTTTATTTTTAATGTTTTATTAGTAAAAACTCCAATAAAAATTGTTAACATAATTATGTAATATACTTATTGTAATATATAATATGAATTAGATCATTTATCAGATATGCTATTATTATGTATGGGAATACAAGTGAAAATTATTTTTAGACTCGGAGTAGTAATAGTAACTATTTTTTTGGCATAAGTATTTATTGCATGCTATATATAATATATAAACACTTCTAATTGTTTCTAAGATACTAAATAAAAAGATATATCAAATATGGAAGAAATAAAATTATATTTTCAAATTTGTTATTTAAACAAAAGAATATTAATTGGAGCTATAACAAAGCGTCCTGATATGAAATTAGGATTTTATGTCAGGAAGCTTTTGTTATAGCTTAAAGTATTATAACAACTTTTGTTTTATTATTATTTTCTGATGGAAATCTACTTTCTTTAATAACTACAGAATTTATAATGCTGTTTGATTTACAGACTTGAGATAAATCAGATTAAATGAATCTCTAGAGTGATTTATTTTTTATCTGATTCTTTCATCTTCTAATTCAAGTATATTATATTATAAATATAAATAATAATTAAGTTAATACTTTATAATTATATAGTATTATCATTATTATTAGCTTAATTATAACCCAAAATTGTTGATATTTATATCTAAATATCAACTACTAGGTTTTTGGGTTATCTTCAATGTGTAAAAGTTTTCTCACCACCACTACCTGCTGAAATAAATATTTTTTCTTTTTCAATTCACACATTAACAATGTTGTAGAAATTTTTATTATATATGTCAGATCACAGTTATTAAATATAAATGGCAGGACTAAACATGAAAGAATTTTATCAATGGGTCTGTGATACATTGTAATTTTGTAATACCAAGTTACAGGTATGTCAGTAAAGTTCAGTGTAATTTTATATAATGACACCTACTGTATAGTCAACTTTTAGCCTGCATACATAATTTAAATGTCCCTATATTCAAAGATCCAAAAATAAAAATAATAACTATAATGATAAAAAAGTCAAATAATTTCAAATAAAGTTTTGAATAAATCATCATTTTTATAAGCACTTGATAATAAAAATAGGTCACAATGATCTGATCAAAATAGGAAGGTTAAAGGAATGAAAATTGAAATGTAACAAATAAATATTACAATTTTTTTACTCAATTTTTTAGCTCATTGTTATATTTAAAATTTTATTTTTTTAAATAAATTGCATATGTATAAACTAAATTAGCTAAAATAGTCAATAAAGTGAAGCTAACATAATCTCAGGAGGAAGTTGTAAGTTAGAATCTATATAATTTAATAATGGTTTTTCTTTGAAATTATCAAGTTCCATTTTTTAAATTAGTAATTTTCATCTTTCTTGGAAAATATATATTGCTTTCAAATAAATTATTAAGTAACACTGAAAAATCTCAAATTTATTTCATTTTAATTATCTCTCTTTTGATTTATTTTTTAATCCAAAAGAAAAAACAAAAATAGCAAACAAAAAATAGCAAACATGTTCAAAAAATTAAAATTTAAAAAATCCCTAATGTTTTTGAAATGTTTGTATTGTGCGCATGTTATTTTTATATACATCATTGAAATTGACAGTTAAAACAAAGCTATCAAGTATATTAAATTACTTTAAATCATGATTTGATATTGGAAGAGTTAAGAATAATAGAATATTTTGAACTGAAAGATATTGGTTAGAAGGACAAAGATTAGAATTTTAGAGATGATCCTGTTGGTATCTTCAGATTTTGAATGATCTTAAGCTTCTTTTTCCATTTCTATAGTCTTATATTAGAGTATTTTGATATCAGTGATTGATTTCATAAGTGAACAAATGTGAAAAGATTTTTGAATGTATGTGGAAAGAATGCTGCTTATCTAAACTCTATTGAGTTTTGATACAGGTATGTGCCTGCTTAATAACAAATCATATATACAATGAAGGTCCCATAAAATTATAATGGAGATGAAAAATTCACAGGCAGACATGTAACACAATGTACAAGTATAAACAAACCTACAGTGCAGCCAGTCATGTAAAAGTACATAAGGTGTATCCAAAAAGTTTATCCAAACCATATTAAAGTTTACTTGCTTTTTAACATAGACAATGCTAAGTCTGTCTGCTAGTTTTGCAATAAATAACCAGTTTTAAACATCAAAAGATAGAAAAGATATAAAATATGGTATTTTATGTTAGATACATAAACACTTATCATTATGTTATGTATAGCTTATATGAGTAGTAGACTACATCATACTTACCAACTTTAGATTATAGATGAGGCAATTAGCTTGGAAAGGCTGATTTTGAAATATAGAGGCTAAATGTTATCCTAATGTATTAGTTGTAAATCCATGTTGGGGAAGGCAATGCATTATAGGTGTTATGCTGTCTCAAAATGGAGGAGAATTCCTAACTCAGACTAACAAGCAACTGATTCCAAAGGTGGATTCTCAATCCAAAAGACTGAAGGTTGACAACAATGTTACACCACATAAGTGATCATCATAAAGTGCACTTAGACAAACTTAATAAAGTACAGGGTGATTTACTTGGAACCGAATACTTGTTATATCTCTACATAAAATGAAAAGATGAGCATTAAACATAAATGGAACAATTCTTAATTTCATGACAAAGTAGTCAACCAAGGTATATGTTTTACATTATATGTTATTCAAATGTGAACAAAGTAAGTGTTCAGTCCCAGTGAATTATCCAGCATTTTCCAGCATATATCTTTGTTGTTAAGTAGTACATATTTGTATTTAATTCATACATTAAAATTTATTACTTTAAAATAATCTGAGTTAAGATATTAAAAATATAGTTTTAACACAAACTTTTTATTTTATAGTAAAAAATGTGAAGTAAAAATTTACTGTAAAATCAATCTACTTATTTAAACTAGATTATAGACTGTTTTAATATTTTTCAATTAATAATTTTTATCACAGTTTAAAGCTCTGAGTCAGAGTTTTGTTGTATTTATAAATATTTAAAATATAAATTTAAGACATGATAAAAATGTCACAGAAAATTAATTTTGATACTATATACTGTATAAAATTAATTAAGGATAGTAATTAATTTGAATATCTTCAATTTTCTTCAGTGGCTACAAGGAGCGTCTGCTCTACTATCAGTATTTCCCAAGGTAAATTTGTTCATTCAAAAATAGCTGAGCTTTTGTTGCATGGCAAATCTAATTTGCTTGAAAAGTTAAATTAATAGAAATAAAAATTGAATAGAACATAGCTTTTGTTTTTTTAACTCACTGCTAAAAACATTAACAAAATGTAATCAATGGAATAAACCTGAAATATATTTTTCATTAATTTATATATTAATAAAAGACATTCAGTTAATTAAATACTGATTATATAAAACTTCATACAATACAAGAAATGATAATACTGGATTCATCTTGCCAGAACTTGATTAATTATATATGTAGATATAGAGTGGAGATAGGCAATTAAGTTATCATCTTGCATTATATTTAATAATTAGAATTAAATCAATTAATTATAATTATCACAGTTGTATTTCCAAGTACAGTGAAACCACTGTAATGTGACCACTGAAGGGATCAGCTCAAATGGTCACCTTACACAAGTGGTCACATTAGCAGGGTTCACTGTAATTGGGAATGCATCTGCATGATAAGCAGAAATTGCAGGTTTGAGTCCCACTCTGGATTAATCTTTTCTTTCAGAATATTCCAAATTAATTAATAATTGATTTATATCTATATATTTAATTAGGCAAGTTACAGCTAGATGAATCAGCATTATCATTTGATTAATTTATAATTTTGGGCTTAGTTCACTGCATAAAAGTTAGTTTATACCAAGTGCAATTTGCTAGTGAAATGCAAAAAGTGAAGCAAATTTCACATCATTAGTGACATTGTTTTCAGCAATGTTTCTGTTCAGCAAATCGCACTGAAAGTCCAATATGTTGAACTTTTTCATTAGTGGAAAATATTTCCAGCAGTTAGAAAGACATATTTGTTGTAAAGAGAGGGAGAATCCAAGATGGCTGCAACAAAGATAGCATATGCAATCTATGACAAGAAACAATGTTTGACTGAAATAAACAATGCTCCATTTTTCTTTTTATTAAAAGAAGGAAAAATCCTTTTTAATAAATGGATGCAAGGTAACAGCATTATTACCAGCTCACTATTATCAGCTATCTTGTTGAAATGACATTTGCCTTTGATGGTAATTGATTTGTGAGATGAAAATAGTAAAAATGTCAAACATTAGTGAAAACCAAATTCACAGAGGAAAAAAAAATTGATTTTTATATTTTGCTTTCACTAGCAAATGTCTGGGTGAACTAACCTTAAGAACAGAAGAAAAAAAAGTAAAATTTTAAGTTGTAGAAAATTGAGAGTTGAAATGCTTCTATCAAACTAAAAATTGACTGAATCATAATATTTTACAAGTACAAAAGCTCATCTTCAGTGTTTATTCAATAAAACAGTTACTTTTAAAAGTTTTAATGTTGGATTGAATGACTTTAAAAATCAGCCTTTGTCCCAAAAATATTATGATTTTCTTGTACTTTAATATCTTTAATGCAACAGTTGGACTTTGCAGAAAATTTGTTTTAAATACCATATTTATTCTAATAAACAGCATGCTGTCTATAACTTTACAGTCTGCTGTTTATTAGTGTGTACTTACTATTAGAAGGCAACTATTAATGGAATAAAGTTGGTAATTTTTCACTTTGTTATTTGAGCAACAATGCAACATTCTGCATACACTTTCTTATTCAGTCTTATCACTCTTACCATACATTGAAAATAATATAATACAACATTTTTCAATTTGCAATAAGCCTTATCCTTCTCCAATGATCAGTGCATTTATTAGAAAGTGCTGTCTATAACTTTTCATCTTGTCATTTTGCTGTTTATTAGAATAAATATGGTATATTGCTTGGAAAATAAAAATTAATGGAGAATAAAATAACAACTAGTGACTAGAGAAAAATCTCTAATTTTTAGAATAAAAATATTTAATTTGAGACAAGTTCATTTTCTAAGACATTGTTAAGTTTTTGATTTACCTTCTGACTTAACTTTAAAGATACATTAAAACAGACTGAAAATGTTTGCCATTATATAAAATTTCCTTTTCAAGAAAAAGAATAGAATTGGAATTTGAAAATCTGTTAAAAATTAACAGATCATTATATCATTTTACTTTTATTCTAGCTTTGTATCAACTCTTAATTATACAGCATAAAATTTCAGATTCATCCTGCATATTTATTATAAAGTTATGACTAATTCATTATAAAATGTACAGTGTGATTTTTACTTATAGCATGTTTCTGCATGTTTTTATTTTATTGATTAAATAATAATTTCAATTTTTTCCTGAATATTATAAATCTGATTCTTTAAAAGTTATTTTTAGGCTAAAAGGATATTTTTTAAAACATTTTAAAGTATATTAATATGGATAAAGACAAAATTGATCAATATAATGGAGTACATTAATTATATTTTATTGTTAATTTATATAATATATTATTTTAGGATGTGTTTTAGTAAATTTATATTATAAAAATTGTTTAAAAATAAACAAACAGTCTATTTTATTTCACTCCTTCAAGAAAAAATAAACTCCATACTTTTTCTGTTTTATAGAAAAGACTTTTATAAACATTAATTATGTATCTTTGCAATACTCAGCTGAAAAGTTAAATAATCAGCATCTTAATTACTTAAAGAAAGAATCTTCTATTCATATGTTTTAAAAAAGTTCAGTTTCATGAAACTGGCAAGAAGCCAATGAAGTTCAGATGTTAAGGACTACATGCATAAATAAAATGAAAAGCAAAATCCATACACGCTAAAAACTATTAAAGAGTTTCATTTATTAAGAATAAAATGCTTTTCAAGATAGCAAAATCTTCATCATCAGATCCAATGAGTTTCCAAAATACACAAAAAAATAATTCAAATTGAGGCAGTTCAATGTTGAAATGATTCTTAGAGCACTAGCAATTTTGTGTTGTTTCAAATACTGTTTTTTTGAAAACTTGTTGGATATGATGATATGTTGTTATCTTGTAAAATGTTTTTATCCCAAAGAAGCCAACAAGTTTATAACAACTCAAAGTGCCATTTACATTTGAATTATTTTAATGAGTTCAAAGTTTTTAATTTGATTTTTGTTTAGATCTGAAGATAAGAAAAATATCATAAAAATGTCTATCACATGTATATGTAGAAAAAACTTCTATAAAGAGTTTATTTTATTGTCTTCTTTAGTAAATAATTTAGTTGTATAGTAGATATTTGATAGCTTTATGATAATAGATTTCTCATATAAACATGTTTTTTAAATTTATTCAAATGGTTATATTCTCTATATAATAATTATAAATTAGGCAATTTTAGTGCTAACTGGATGGCCATGTTGTTAAAGCTTGCTCTGGGAACTTGGGATCGATCCAGGCAGGTTGAAAAGCCTAGGAATTTTTCAAGGAAGTGATAAATGCTGGATGTCAGTCCCAGTCCCTTACTGCCCAGTTTATTTTTTTGAAAATAATACCACAATCAAAATATGAACATAAATATGCTTTTAAGTTATATATATATATATAACTTAAAAGCATATTTAAATTTGGATTTTCACATATATATTAATAGAAAATAGACTTAACAATTACCTTACAGACAGTAATGTTATTAACTAATGATTTTACTGATGAAAACTATATAAAATCTAAATAAAAAAGACAATAATGTTTAATTTTAATAAATAAATCTAATCAAATTTAAATTTATAATTAGTCTTGTTATCAGTATGATAATAAAAGCATTATTTTATTATATGAATTACTTGATACTTGTAACAGGCCTCATATTCATCCTACTTTTTCTGCTGTTTAGTAGAAAAGTAGAAAATATCATTTTAAGAAATTGTCCTAATTGTACTATTTTTGTCTTTTAGTACAGGATCAATTTTTTCTAAGCAAAGCATATGTAAGGTATATTTTTCATTCTGCCTTCCTACATTCATATATGTGATGCAAGATTTTGTGATCACTATGGTGAATTTCTTTAAATTAGAAATTAAATTTTTTAATTTGTAAATCTCAACAATGATTTTTCCAGTATTTAATCAAGTCTCAATGAAGATCATGGAGGGGAAGAGTTTTACTTCAAGTTTTTCTAAACTGTTGTAGCAATTTTTTATTAAATTAGCAGTGTGTTTACTGATATTTAAATAACTTCAGGGCCAATATATTCAGTAAATTATCTGTTTTTATTTGCTCTAAAGTAATTTGGTTTTAAATAATTTTAGCTCTAATAAAAGTAGAACATTGCTGAGTTTATTATTGTAATTTTGATAAATAGTGAAATTCCATTTTAACATTTCTTGATTTAATGTTTACCCTAACTATATGTTCATTTTTATGGAGCACTACTTGAGACTACTAAAAATAATTAAATTTAGGTTTGAATTTAGTTTAGTTTTTACATGAAAATTTTGATTTTAAGGAGCAATTGTTTTTTGGAGTCACCCATCTAAAGATGATTTCAAGATTTTAATGTACAGTAGAGCATCGCTTATCTGACTCAATTGGGGACTCAGGTTGGTCAGATAACTGAAAAAATCAGATAACCGAAAAGAATGAAAAAAATACATTATTAATATATCCAATGTAATTAGTATATCGCTACTAACCTACTTCGCGTTGAATTTTCATCGATGTTAAGCCTAACAAAATTTTTTTAAAATAATAATCGTCACTATTGTATCGTTAAAAATTCTTTTTAAATTATTTTATTGCTCACAAAACAAACAACCACTCATAATTAAAAAATTAAGTCTCGTTTAAATACTGGCCTCCCTTTCATGGTTGAGCCAGTGTTGCTAGCTAAAACACGCAAAAGTTTAACAAAAATAACATTAAAGTAGCCAAGACATAGCCAAATATTGTAGCGCCACATCACTAGCAGACATTTGAAGTTTGCCGACTAGAACGATCGGTTAACCAATGCGACGGTTAATCGGGGGTCAGATAATTGATGCTCTACTGTATACAAGATAGAAGGTATAGTGGTGATTGTTAGGTTCTGAATTTTCTAAATTTTGCTTCCTCTAGGAAGCAAACATTATAAAATTTTGCAGCCTTCCCTGTTTTATGGGAGCAGATTCTTGCTTACTGGTCTAGAATTTAATCCACAAATCTATTTCTTTTTTATCATTTCAACTCGATTGACATTCAGTGTCTCAAAAAAGTGCAGAATAGAAACAAATATATAATCAATATTGCTTTGTTTTTTCTATTTAATGAATCTGATAGTACAAAAAGTTAAAAAAATATATATATATACAGTATTGACTGTTTGCTTCTTACCATAATTTATTATAAATTTTTAATTTGATATTGTAAGTAACATTTTTCATTTTTTATATTTTTTTAAAAATTGCTTTTACATATTCACAAATTGTAAATGTTATTGAAATTAAAGGCCATAACCTATCCAGGATTATTATTCTGATTCTGGTAACTAATGAATGGCAGTGTTTTTTTGAAAGGAAGTTTTCACATTAAGAAAAAAATAATTTATTATATAACTTGATTTGTTTTATTAACTCTTATCTTTCCTTTCCTTGTTAATGATAAAATATATACTGTTGGCTGCTACTGTCACAATATTTTATTGAACATCCTTCTCTAAATGATCTTTGCTATTTTTAAATTTGTCCTACTTATCCTAATTTTTCCTCAGAAAGTCCTACTTTTCAACCCTTGAAATACAGTCAAAGCACTATTAAAATAATATAAATAATTTTGTAATTGAATATTTTTCAGGAGAATTCAATTATTAATTTATAAACTACACAGTCTGTTAAAGATGTTATATTAGTAGTTCTGGAAAACAAATGGAATTCTAAATAGCATGAATGAATAAATCTTTTTTCAGGTGTGTTTTGGTGAACTAATTTATATAAAATAGCCTGAAAATAAATATTAATATACTGTAAAAACCAGAAAAAGAATTCAGCTTGAGCTATTTTTCACAAAAAAATATTGAAAATATTTTGATTATGTATAAACAGCATGCATTTACACTGAAAGCATAAAAATTTTGAATATAAGCTTAANATATGCACAAGTCGTCACAGCGTGCACCTTTATACCAGGCAGCGGAAACATTTTTTCCCGTCTGGTGGCGATATAACATAAGAACCTACTCTCAAAAGCTAATCATTTACATATCTAGCTAAGATGATGCAACATATCAATTTTTATTCAGATCTAACAAGTCCTTCATGGTGCGTTATTTTTTTTGTCGTCCAGTGTATTATTTAATCTATCTATCTTTGTTCTATATAACGTTACAAAATTATAAGTTCTTATATTCTGGAAAAGTTCAAATGTAAAAATCTCTCCATATTTTACCATGCTTTAAAATTAGCAGAATAAGAGTAACTTAGCATGTACCAATATTTTTAGATCACTTTCTCTCAAATAAGTTATCAAAATTTGTTTTGTTCACTATAAACATATTGATTACAGACACTGATTGTCTGATATAAAGTCAGTTTTCTATTATTAGATTTATTTAATAATAATGCAATTATAAATTAAAATGAAAATTTTCAAGTAAATTAGTATTTGTGTTTTATTGTTTTAGATACTCTTTGAGATCAGGAATAACTAAAAATAGTCATTTAGATAAGAAGGAACAACCAAAGCATGATGATGGCTCATTTAACGATTCTGAAAATTCAACATCAAATTTAAGAGAAGATTCGAGTCAAAAAAGAACAGTAATTGGACAACTACCAATTCAGCCAAAACCACTGACAATTAAGAAACCCATTGGTGTTGAACCGCCTCGTCTTAGAAGTAGTATTCCTATTTTATCTTCACATAAGCGAACAGGGGAATCAAATTTGCAATCACATTCTTTACTTCAATTTAATAAGCATACACATCATAAAAATGATCATTCTCTAAATCTACAGTCAACTGAAAGTGAACATACCTCTAGCGATACTTCAGAAAGAGAAAACAATAGCAATAGTTCTGGGACAAGTATTACTGATAGATTATCAGAAGTTATAGAAACTGTATCATCACTTGAAAACAATGAAAAAGAGGAAGAAAAACAGAAGGATGAAGAAAATAAAACAGATTTAACAGAAACACAATTAGAAAAAGATGAACCGTTTAGTCATTTTAATGACATTATTAATCTGGACAATGAAAATAACATTAGAACTGAAGGGGATGGTGATTCTGGTTGTGAAACTGTTCCGCCAAGCAATTTATCGTATACGTGTGGTAAGATTTTATTATCCATTTACTTGTTTTAAATATTACATTCAACAATATATCCACTTAGCAACCACAATATCCATAAAATAAAGTTCAGCAGGAAGAATTTATAGGGTGGTCAAAAAATTAGTTAACTGAAAAAGTTTTAACCTTTTTTAAAATAATTTTAAAATATATATGTAAGTTAGTTTACTTTTTGACCACCTTGTATAAAGAATACTTAAATTGTAATATTTCTAAGAATAAGAATAGAGTTGGTGGCTGGATCTTGAATTTGTATCATGCTGCCACCATAGCTAAGTTATAAACAGGGCTTTGGAGCGACCATTTTTTTTTGAGTTGCTCTGCTTCAGCTCCGCTCCATGCTCCAGTTAAAATATTCTTATAGGAATTATACTAATTTTGTCTTTGGTATATAAGAACGCATAAAAAAACTTGTTTATTTACAACTAATTTATTATTAAAAAAATTAACATACAACCTCATTGATTTTAATAAATAAACTGGGGAGTCATGAAGGGGAAGGAATAGCTTGGTCAGGGGATAATGGAGACTGGAGAGAGAGGTTCCCACCTTTCACATGGGACATATGTGGAATGGATATAAAATTAATCTGATGCTTGTGATCATCTTTCTTTTTAGTTCAATTATTGTATTTTTAACATTTGTAAATATTACAACTTATGCCACTTCCATTCTCATCGTCTCAAATATTAAATAAATATATATATCGGAGCAGTGGAGCACTACAAATTTCCGTGCTCCGGTTCCGCTCCTGCTCCGAGTAAAAATCCATTGCTCCACCTGCTCCATGCTCCAGTTCCTCTCCAAAGCCTTGCAAGAGACTATGTTCTAAATCAGTGATTGCCAACCTTTTTAATAATTTAAAAATTTGGCGGCACACAGTTACTTCGGTAAGTATCGCAGGACAACCGGTGACATTATAACAGTGATTTTTAAACGCAGTTGGTTATTTAGGTCACGTTTTCTAAACGCCTTGGTAACTACCGGCAGTTACCAAGGCAGCTACAATTTCCAAACGCCCTAGGAAGGTAGAACTGATTGAACTACTTGTCTGACGTCGCTTATGTATGGGTATTCGCAGTGCCGGCACACTTCAAAAATCTCGCGGCACAGTAGTTGAGAATTACTGTTCTAAATGGATAGCGTTATTTACACTGAGATACTTGACAATTATTTGTTACAATCTGTTGATTATCACTACATTGATAGGAGCTCTTTCATTTATCAGCAAGATAATGATACAAAACATATATCCAGGAGGGCAATGCCATGCCTTCAGAATCAAAATATTAGCCTGTTCGAGTGGTCGTCTCAATCGCTTGATCTCAACCCGAGTGACTACATCTGCTTCTTTCTTAAACCAGATTATGCAGCTCTGCCTGGCATCCACCAATTATAGGAACGTGTACAGGATGAGTAGAACAAAATAATATTGCATGAATGCAGAAATATTATTAATTCTNTAAATTATTACTAATTGCCCCCTCAACATGGAAAAACGCCCACATGGGGGCAATATTGCCCCCATTGAGAAACACTGGTCTAAACTATACAGGACAGTCCATTTTAATCAATCCACCGGAATACTAAAAAAAAATGTATTGTACAAAAGAAATCATTGAACCAAAAATGTTAAACTTCAAGGAGAACAGAATATGGTGCCATGATTGATAAAATTGGAATCAACTTCATTTTCTTAAATGGAAACCCCATCTTTTATTGCATATTGATTCTACATAAAAAAAACTTTTATCTAAGAGTTTTTTTGAACGATATACTTATCAAAACTTATGAGAATTTATATTTTTAAGCAGTTACAAAAATTTTAAATTTACTCAATATTTTCTTATTTCCATGCTCATTTAAGAAAATGGGATAAGTAAAGTTTTCCTTTACATATGTAAACTAATAAAATCAGCTTCATTCTTATTCTAGGAAAGACTTAGTTTCACAAATTAATTTTAATTTCATAAGAAAGGTTCATGAAAAAATTTGTTATCTATAATTTCTGAATATGTTTTTATCAAATATTTTCTGTTTTTTAGGAGATCACTGCTAAATATAGAATTGCAGTTAGAATTGATCACTCAAAAATTAATTGATTAATTTCTAAACTTGAAGCTGTTTGAATTTCAAATCAAAAGAAACAGTCACCTAGGTTTAAAATTATGAGGATAAAAAATTCTTAAGATAGAATATAAATGTTTTATCATTCTTGGTAAATCAATTCAGATAAATGAGTCTACATTCCATATTTTATTAATTATTTAAATTCAGTTGTTAGAAGAATTTTAAAATATTTTAATAAGATTCAGTTACTTATTGTAACAATGTAATCTTTATTATTTTATTCATTTAATAATATCAAATAAAATTGAATTTTTAGATTTAATTAGTGATATTTTATTAACTATAAATTATATAACATTTTTCAGAACCAAAAGCCATAACAGAACCTTCTTCCCAAGAAATTTCTACTAACGAGCATGAACCTGTTGCTTTAAGGCGTGTTAAGAAAGGCAATTTGAAAACAAAAGATTCTGCTAAAAGTCCCAGAAGAGTTAGCTTTGATCCATTAGCTCTCTTATTGGATGCTGCATTAGAGGGAGAAGTAGAATTAGTTAAGAAAACTGCTTGTGAGGTAATTATTTTTATTTATAGATTTAATGATAATTTGAAAAATAAAGTCATAGAAATATCTTTTAAATTGCTTTGGAAATATATTTAATAATTAGCCAATAACTAAATGAAATGCAAAATACTGTATGTAACATGGAAATAAGAAACTTTATAACATTAGGTTCTATAAATGATTGCATAGTCAATAGAAATGATGTTATGATGTAAAAGCTTTCATGTGTCATGTGTGAACTAACATGCTATTTCATAAATAAGATAAAACAAAAAATAATACTTTAATAGAGAAAAATTACAAAAAGAAAAAAAAATACAAAAAACTAGATATAACAATTGCTCAAGCAGTTTCAAGTTATGACTCATCATCAGGAATATCAATTAATTTAAGCATTTCTCATAATAAATCACAATAACTCCAAAAACCCTTGGATGATTGTCATTTCTGTTTTATGTACTAACTTTTGTAATTTTTTTTAGCATTAAAAATAGTATTTTTTACTTTTGTATATAAATTTAATCGTAATTTAATAAATATTAAACAATAATTCACTAAATATTGACTTTTAAAAATGAACTTCTAGACAAATTAGTCTTTAATACAAATAATTTAATATCAATTAATTACATATGATATACAGTATATACATCTTACATATATAAAATACTATAGAAACTACTACTTTCCTTGCTAATCTAATAAAAAATAAATGCTTTTGTGATCCATCTGGCTAGTTCCAACTAGTTTTTAACTTCCTGTGGTCAACTCTTTCATTTCCTCAGGCAAAACAAGTGAAATTTTACAAGCAGAATTATCAATTCTAGCCAATGATAGGACATTGAAGGACAAAGTGATTTACCTTGTACATTCTACAAACATACATACAAACATAAATTATTCAAACTAAAAACATATTCAAAATGAAAAAACATGTTTTGAAATCCTTGAAAATAAATACTTGATGTAATCTGAAACATTTTAGGTTCCTAATCCAAGTGCTGCTAATGATGAAGGAATCACAGCATTACATAATGCCATTTGTGCTGGTCATTTAGAAATTGTCACATTTTTAGTTGAATTAGGATGTGATGTGAACACTCAGGATAGTGATGGCTGGTAAGAAATTATTTGATCCTTTAAATAGTTTTTGCATAAAAATTAATGTAACATGGAAATAAGAAAATTTATAATATTTATTTATAACAATATATATATATATATATATATATTTATTCTTCCTTATTTTTAGGACTCCATTGCATTGTGCTGCTTCCTGTAATAATCTTCCAATGGTTAAGTACTTAGTTGAGCATGGTGCCTGTATTTTTGCAACTACTTTAAGTGATCATGAAACAGCTGCTGAAAAATGTGAAGAAGATGAAGATGGCTTTGATGGTTGTTCTGAATATCTTTATAGTAAGTTCAAAAATATACTGTTTACTATAATTGGGGATATTATATTAAAAAATTATTAAGACACATTCATAGATCTATAAACAGTATAACCAAATTGTCAAGGATAAAATGCCAGTATGAAAATTTCAGAATTTGAATTAAAATTGGAATAACTTCTAATGCCTTTAAATTATGATTTCAAGTCATAAAATCCAAATGTAGGGCTATTTTCAGTGTGAAATGATTCAGTTTTAATAATAACAACAACAACATGATGTCAAATATTGATTGTCTGATGCATTTGAATGCCCAGGTTGCTTAGTAATCTTAAGTTTTATTACTAATTTATGCTTCTAGACCAATTAATTTAGAAGATATACCCATATTGATCACACTTTATACTAATTGAGGATTATGCACTCATCCTCTGTGGCATTTGACTGATTTTAATGTAATTCTGGGATAGTCAGCTGAGTGTTATGGAGGGTTGTGGTTATATAGTCAGTTCCTGTTAATTTAGATGAAATTAGACTGATAGATTCTTTTAATGATTGATAAGGTAGTATGAAAAAATTTATTTAATTGTCAATGCTAAGAGTTGGCAATAAATCTAATTTAATTAATTTTAGAAATAACTAGCTGGCAAACAAATAAGTTTGGAGAGGTATTTGAACCCACAAATTTTACGCATTGGCTATGTTCCCGGTTATGCCATTCTAATACTTTTGAGTTGGACTGTTTCCAGACAGACACAAATTCAAGTTAACGTATAACCCTACAGTTACTTATTGTTATTTATTGCTACATTCAATGAGTCTAGAAATTCTTCAAGAAAGTTAAATGTGCTGTAATTTTTTCTTTTTTTGAAAAGCTAAAAATAGCCTTTATTGAATTTAAATTTTATAATATTAAATTTTTAATTTAAAAATTGGTTTAAAAGAATTAAAGAATTCAAAACATGAAAGATGTTGCTTTTAAGTAATGTTTTTGAGTGTTTTAATTTGTTTTTAATTGTTTATTTCATAAATGAGTTTCTAAATTCAAAAATTAATTGCATTACTGATATTNAGACACACACCCCTTTGTATATTGGTTTAATCCTACATCCATCAATTAAAAACCATGTTGCATCTCATTCATTCACAGAAAATAGTTTCTTGTTATTTATAAAAGCATTAATGAAATACAGATCACTTAACAATGATTATAAATGTAGTTATTTTATATTAGTTAAATTGTTATTTTTAATGAATATTAATGAATTTTTTAATTTAATGAATATTTTAATGAATTTTAATAAATCTGAATCATTAAAAATCAACTCTTTCCAGTCACGTGCACTATAATGTTTTGATGTTGCTTTTAAGTAATGTTTTTGAGTGTTTTAATTTGTTTTTAATTGTTTATTTCATAAATGAGTTTCTAAATTCAAAAATTAATTGCATTACTGATATTGTTATTTGAAATTTTTAAGGAATGAAATAGGAAATATATGCATTCATTATTGTTATATAAATATCCCCAAAATTCTTATAGATAAGGTTGATTTAATTGGTAGAATGTTTCAAATTGTTTTATTTGACAATTTTTACTTTCTCAGCTGTGTTATATATATAATAAACTTTCCAAAGCCTAATATATTGATACTAAACCAAACAATCACCATAATTAATCAGGCTATAAATTTGCTATTATTTAATAATAGCAAATTATAGCCTAATTAATTTCAATGATTGTTTGATTTATTGTGTTATATATAACAGAGGGAAAGTATGATGATAGGTCATAAAAATGGCCCCCAAGATTTTTATATTTTTGGACTCTGGATCTTGAAATATTGAAAAATGCAAAATAATTTGGGTTTTTTCAGTATGTATGGATGTTAGTGTTTGGGATAACTATTTTGTTTACCGTCTTTGAGGCTTAATAACTCCTGTGCTTTTTGTTCAAAATTTCTAAAATTTTTCAGGGAAGTTTGTGTATTGGGAAGATTGATGCTATTAAATTTTCAGTGGTTAAAGAGGTGGAGAGATAGATGGGGGTGTGTTGTGTGCCATATCTCAAGTAGGTTAGACTTAATGATTTTATTCCTTATTAGCATTTACAGTTTTTTTTATAAAACTCAATCCTACCCTCAAAATTAAGCTTTTTGCTGTTTTATAATAATTAAAAATATAAGTTTTTAAACAAAATATAACAGATGGCACCACATGCAGTTTTAAATGTTGCCAGGAAAGTTAAGCAACTTGTTGCTGGATTTTTATATAATGATTCCTTATTAACTAATATTTGATAAAAAGCAAGTAAAAATAAATCTCAAGAAACATTTAATTAGTAAATTTATCTCATATCATTGCAATAAAGTTGTTTATTTTATTAATATAATTGAATTCTTGATTCAGTGGAAACCTTGCTACATAGTTTTTATTTATTTAAAAAATTCAGCAAACTGGAATGATACAATCATTTATCATTCCAATTTGCTGAATTGGAAAAATCATTGGAGAGAGAGTATTTAAGCTCAGTGTGATGATGTTGAAATACAGTAGAGCATTGATTATCTGAAACAATTCAGGACTGGGATTGTTTGGATAATTGATTATGTATGAAAAAATATATTAACCTATCCCATGTTGAAATTTGTTCAAATCCTGGCAGTCCTTAAGTACCCTCTCATGATCGTGCCAGTGCTGCCAGATAAAACATGCATACCAACAAAAATAATATTGTAGTAGCCCAAGACATAGCCAAATATTGCAGCACCGCAGCACTAGCAGAAGTTTAAATTTGCCGACTGGAACGCTTTCGGTTAACTGATGTTTTGGATAATCAATGCTCTACTATATCAAATAAATTTCTTTATATTATAAAATATTTTTGTTTTTGTAATTTTTTAAACATGTAAACTCAAGCACCTGAAAAGTGTTAAGAACACAGGTATCATATCAAACAGCATTCTCATTCATTTAAAATGTATACAAATGAAAAGTTTAAACACAACATTAATCTCCTTGATAAAAGTCTGCTAAAAATTTATTGTATTTTTATGAAAACTGGGATACCATAAACTACTATTGTATAAAAATTTATTCTAACAATTTGTTTAATAATACATGAAATACATACTCATTAAATATCTATTATAATAAAATACATTTAAAATCCAGATTATTTTCAGACTAGAATTAAACTATTCAGAAATTCTAATTAAAAAATTCAAAATGATAGTTTAGAAAATTACATAAAAAATTTGCTCCAGAATGGGACTCAAACTCACAACTGCTTACTGTTACTTGTTATGTACTCAGACCTTGTCCAGTCTTTGCTTCAAGATCTAAAGTTAATTGTATACCAAAACCCAAACAGATTAATTGCTGTTGTGCCAATTGGGGATGTCTTTTATATCTATGATCTGTCATACTCCCAGCTGAATTTAAGTTTTACCATAGTATGATATATATAAACATAACCCGATTTTAATGACCAAACATACCATATTTATTCACATATAAGACAAGGTTTTTATTCATTTTTCAGTGCTTCAAAAACCTAGATCGTCCTATACGCACGTACAAAAGATTCTTTGTGTTTTTGCAATAGTTTCTGTGAACCATGTATACTTCATGTTATCATTATAGGTCTACAGTCTATTTATTGTAAGTTGGCACCTACTTTAAACAAATTAAGACACACACCCCTTTGTATATTGGTTTAATCCTACATCCATCAATTAAAAACCATGTTGCATCTCATTCATTCACAGAAAATAGTTTCTTGTTATTCATAAAAGCATTAATGAAATACAGATCACTTAACAATGATTATAAATGTAGTTATTTTATATGAGTTAAATTGTTATTTTTAATGAATATTAATGAATTTTTTAATTTAATGAATATTTTAATGAATTTTAATAAATCTGAATCATTAAAAATCAACTCTTTCCGGTCACATGCACTATAATGTTTTGGTTTTGTTTTCCATTCATCACGTATTAAGACAAACAACATGTTTGTCTTAATGCGTGCATTTGATAATATTTTGTGATTAAACAAAATAAAATTAAAACTGTATTAATAAATCTAATTTTCTTTATTTTGATCTCTAAAGTCACAATTCATCCTATATGCGAGATTGTCTTATATCTGAATAAATACAGTATTTAAAAGAAAGATTGTAAAACTTTATAAGCTCATTTATGACACCAAATACAGTAGAGCATCAATTATCCGAAAGAATTCCAGTCGGCAAATTTAAATTTTCCACAGATAGCAGTGCTGTGAGCTGCAATCTGTGGTTATGTCTTGGGTGACTCAAATATTTTACGTTTTTGATACTAAATTAACTTCTGAAGTATAATTTTTATTGTTTTTATATTTTTCAATATATTTATTTTGTTTGTACAAAATAAAAAAATAATTTTTAACGATACAATAGTCTTCATTAGGCTATCGACGAAAATTCAATGCGAAGCGACACGCAACGGAGAAAAATTTCAACATGGGATAGGTTAATATATTTTTTTGTACATAATCGGTTATCCGAAATATCGATTTTCCGAACAACCTCAGTCCCCAATTGATTCGAATAATCGACGCTCTACTGTATATTATAAAGAAGAAATTGTACTGTCTTTTGGTGTTAGATATATTCATTTGCTGAATTAAATGAAAGTACTTGCATTTGCATGCAAATGCAAGTACTTTCATTTTGTTTGAGGAAGACATTTTGAAATGTTGCACATTGAAATTTTGAAATGTTGCACATGTGCAACATGTCAAAATGTCTTCCTCAAACAAAATAGGGAATGTCCTCTGCTCTCACTTATAGGGCATATTTATATCCCTCTTCTCCAGCATTGATGTAGGATGAGCTGCAGATAGTGACTACAGCTGTATGCAATTTCCAAATTTAAATTTATCAACAACCTGGTCTGCAATTATCTCTTCCCACCCACCACCCTACAGTCATACAACAAAAACAAGAAGCTAATATTTGCAAAACTTTCTATCCCGTAGTTAGGATCTGTAACTTTATGAATAGCTCAAGCTTATAAAAAGATATGGGGGTCACACTAACCATCAGACCTCAGCTGTCATTCTGCAGAATTCTATGTAATGACAGGGATTCTCTTTTCCTTTTGGAGAAGTCTAGGGTTTATATAATCCAATTATAGCAAGTGCATATGGGAACAAAGATCATAGGTATTACAACTAGAAAGTTATCAAACCACTTAAATGAACACCAGGATGATGTTAAAAACACCATACCTTCCACTGATATTGCAACCAACATATTAGAAAATAGTGGAATAAATTATGAGTCCATACTTTCATTCTCAAGTGATGTTTAGATTGCAGAACATTGTTTATCTGGGAGTTATTATATATATATATCTTTAGTAAAACCCTGCAACTCTCCCACTCTTTAAATTCCTAGAATATAGTTAACACTTTATAAAAACTTATAAAACCTAAAATAAAAAAAACTTTATTTTACTTAGCCTTATCTTAGCTACCCACTTTTGTGTTTTATTTTTTCTTTATTCACATTTTATATATGGAGAATAGTTTCTGTATTTGTGTTAAATTTAAACTTAAAATTTTATAACCCATGCAAAAACTAACACGTTTAGGTTAAAAAACGCTCCTATGTTCGATTAAGGTAAAGAGATTTAAAACCAATATTCAAATTTTATATATACTTTTTTGTATGAGGAAGACATTTTGAAATGTCAAAAGTACTTGCAATTAATTCAGCAAACAAATAAAGCTAATGCTGAAAGACAGTACAAGTTCTTCCTTATAAAAGCAAGATTATTTTCAGACTACAATTAAGTTTATATGTATTGCAACAATTTTAATAAAATTGTTGTTCCAAATAATCAAATATAGGTCGTAAAGTCGAACAAGTTAAACGTGTTAGTAACAAATCGTTCTAAAAGTAGTAGTCTCACTCAGTGAGCATGCTCTGTGATGACGACATTTCGAACGAAACTCTAACGAAGTTCACAAAGGAAAGAGTTAGTTCACTTTGTTAATTAAATGGCGGCCGACGATATCAATGTTTCTAAATCTACTTGAGTATTTAAACTGTGAATTAAAAGGTGAAATGATAGAAATAACTGTCCACCCAAAGCAATCTAAGAAAAATATTTCAGATAAGGCTGCACTAGTAACATTCATATCTTTATAACTAAATAGCTGTTTCTAAAATCAAACAGATTGTTCGAAAAGTCTAATGAAATAAGAATAATGTCATTGTTATTCTTATTTCGTTAGACTTTTTGAACAAGTAAACAAATTAAAAAAATGAACAAGTAAAAAAATAAATTGTTATATGCAATATACTGTTTTGTTTAATTTGTTTTAATTCTTCCCAAATGGGGGATTAAACCCTCCCCATTTGCACAACCTTCATTAAATGTGAGATAAACATTAAATCAATATTTATAAAATTGCTTCTTCAGAATTTATATTTTCATTATTCCTAGACCCTATCCTTAGGGAATGAAGTTGAATTACAGGAATCCCGTAATTCTTCTTTCGTTCTTATTCTTATTTCGTTAGACTTTTTGAGCATACGACTGTACCCATAGTAGGGTTATAAAAATTTTACTTATTCATGCATTAAACTCTCTACCAATTTTTACTCCTCTGCTGATACAAGTATAGGTTATTGTCTGTACATCTTAGATAATTTTGTTTTTAAATTTATTCAGTCCTTTTTAATAAAAATTTTTATTTATTATATCTCTGTAAAACTGTCATTACTGTATATTTTTAATTAAACATCTAGATCTAGAATGATAATTAAGAACATAATTAAATTGACACAAAAATTTTAAATGGAGCAAAATTATAAAAATATTGATTTAATGACTTCTCACAAAAATCTCCTCTCATATTATTGTTTACAAAAACTGCTTCTTTATATTGTCATTATTCCTAATGCTTTTTGATTCCTGTAATTCAACTTCATTTCCTAAGGATAGGGTCTAGGAATAATGAAAAAAATAAATTCTGAAGAAGCAATTTTATAAATAATGATTTAATGTTTATCTCACATTTAATGAAGGTTGTGCAAATGGGGAGGGTTTAATCCCCCATTTAGGAAGAATTAAAACAAATTAAACAAAATAGTATATTGTATATAACAATTTATTTTTTTACTTGTTCATTTTCTCCTTAGTATGTTCATTTTTACAATATAGTCTACATGTTATTCTAACTACTGTGTATTTATCTGTTATAAAAAAATATATATTCTTTAACCTTAACTTTCTAAAAATCATGTGCACAGGCCAGTTAATAATAATAAATGGATAAAAATATGTTCAATAAATTATATTTTTTTAATTTTAGGTATTCAAGAAAAACTAGGCATTATGAATGGTGGAGTTGTCTATGCAGTATATGATTATGAACTACAAAATCCTGATGAACTGAGTTTTCAAGATGGAGATAAAATAGTAGTTCTGAAAAAAGGAGACGAATTAGAAAGAGAATGGTGGTGGTCTCAGCTAAACAATCAGGAAGGATATGTCCCTCGAAATTTACTTGGAGTAAGTAACAAAACAATATTTTAAATTTTTATAGTGGTTCATCGTTTAAACTTATGTTATCATAAATTATTGAATAAATTAAAAATATTTCAAAAACTAAATTAATTCAAGTAGTAACAAAAATAATTCTTGATGATAATTATGTTTAAATTTTAAGTGTGTGTATATATATATATATATATATATACATACATACATACATACACATACATACATACATACATACATACATACATAATGTATATGTAATGTATTTTTTAAACTGAGATTTATGCCATATAGATTTCAATATGATTTCCAAATTATATCTCATCTTTGCTCAAATAATGAAATATAAAATTGGTTCTAAATATTGTCATAATTTTAGTTATTTTCTATTTTCTTATTGTTGTGTTTTAGCATCATTTGATTCATTGTTTTTGCAGTAAATAGTTCTGAAATCACATAAAATGAAAATAAAACTTCCATTAACATTGCATTTGGATATGGTTATGGAAATAATGAATATTCAGTGCTATCAAAAGGAACATAAATGCATTAAAATGGTGTCAAATATATTGATTTAATCTAATGAATTTCATCTTAAAGATGAAAAATATAATAGGAAAAACAACAAAAACAAAATGAACAAAAGTCTCTCAGGGCATAACTTGTTTTAGGGCCTATTCCAAACAAATAAGCAGATTAGTAAAAATATATATGAAAAAGATGAGGAATTAACTGGAAAATTGAAAACTAAGATGTAATTAGTTTATGTGGATAATGATAACACTAATAAGCACTAAGCACTATACATAGAACCAATGTCCAGCAAGAAAATACAAATAGATTCATTGAAGCAATTGCTTAATTGATGTTTGAACAATAGTAAATGTTAAAAAAATTAAATCTAGTAACAAATATATACAGGCTCAATGTTGATTTAAAAATGTGTATGTGATGAAAGGTCATCTCTGTAAAAAATATTATGATGCATTCTCTGTTAATAACTTAGCTGTTTTATTAATGCCTCAAAACACATTTTTAAATGAAATTGTTCATTTTTGGAAGTCTTGTGACTTAGTTATAATACAATAATACATTGTGATAGATTTTATAATTCTTGTAGTTAGAAAATTTTTTCAAGACTATGCTCAAGTTAGACACTAAGATGTTGGGAATTTCACAATATGTTAACCATAGAAAAAATATTATGCAGCCATGCATGAAAGAAAAATGATGTCTTTTAATTGAGAAAACTATTTAAAAAAAAAAAGTATTCAAGCATGTTGCTTGTTCACCTCTATGGCAATGACATTCAATTCAAACATTTATAAGCATTCCTGATAACATTAGTTAACAAGTCATGACCAATTTATCCATGTCATAGAACAGTGGTCTCCAAAGTGGGATATGGAAAGTGATACTTGAGGGTATGCCAAGTTTCCCTTCAAAATACTGTGTGTGTATCCTATACAGTCAAAATACTATAACTCTAATACATGTAAATTTGTAATTTAATTTAAATGTATGTACTGTATATTCATAAATTTTTGTTGTAAATTCTAAAAATTAATAATTTCTAGATTAAAACCAAGTAAAACTACTCTCTCTTATCTGACTTCTCTTAATCGACTTTTGTTTTAAATTTTGTGAATATATTTATTGTATGTATATTGTTTAAAATAAGTAAATAATCTGATTTTTGATCACACACACACAGTGATTCAAGTCAGAAAAACTTTAAAAAATTAACAACTCACAAACTATTTACAGTAAGATGATGCAGTTTTCACAGAAATGCTTAGAAAAAAAGTGGGATTTTTTTTTGTAATAAAAATTTTAGTACTAAAATAGTTACATTTCTTGCCATAGATGGCACTTGAAAATATTACATAATTTATGTAGTTGTTACTAGAGCTTACACTAAGAACATTTTTTTTTATTATTATTTTAACAAATTTATAAATGCTTTGTTTTCTACAGTACCATCTACAGCAATAAATGTAACTATTTTGGTACTGAAATTTTTATTACATCTAAAAAAATCCCGCTTCTTTCTAAGCATTTCTGTGAAAACGGCATCATCTTACTGTAAATAGTTTGTGAGTTGTTAATGTTTTAAAAACTTCTGTGACTTTTGAACCACTCTGTATGTATATATTATATTATAGGGGATAAAACTTATAATTATTTTTGTCTTAGGAGTATGCAATCAAAAAAGTTTAGATTATTAGACAATAGTGCAATACATTATCTTGGATAGTAAACTGATAACTTTGCACAATTAAGTTTAACAGAGTATTGAATTTCTGATGTTATAATTGTTGATTCAATTATCTCAAAGTAGATAAATCTATCAACAACTATCCAACAAAATCCTTTACTTAAATAAATGTTTTCCTCCATATACAAGACATTGTTGGGTTCGATTATAACATTCTAATGCTATATTCTTTTAATCGAACCTTACAAAGTCTATTGTACATAGATGTAAAATTTAAGTAAAGGATTTTTCATTTTGCTGATTGTTTGGTGTGTTGTATAACTTTGTTTATAGTTCTAACCAATATCTTTGCATCTGAAATCAATTTGATATAATTGCTTGATATTAGATTATTAGGTGCTGTGAATCATTGTCTGTTTTGAGATTGGTTAATGGCATTCTTAGCGAAAATTGTTAGTATGTATGAAAGTCTGCAAGCAGTGTGGCAAGGTGGTAGTACTATATTTTTTGAGAACTTGACAATTGAGTCTTGATTTCTTGCTCATGATGGACTACACATATGGCAAATTACTTCCACATTAATGTTCACATTTCTTTCAAACACCCTGTATATATAATATCTAATTCTAAAGATAATTAATTACATAAATCAATTCAGATATATCTGATTACTTATAATTTTAAATATAATAATTAACAATAAAACTAAACAAAATATAAATTAAATTTTTATTTCTTTTCAGTTATATCCGAGGGTGACAGCTAGGAAGAATCAATAAATTTACCAATTATAAATCATCATTGTCTTAAATTAATGCAGCTATAAAACTTTTCAATACAGATTCTTCTAAAAATCTATGCAATAAATGGTTATGAATGCCAAAGATTCAATTAAAATTGTTTACAAAGAACAAAATTCATATCTTTATGACTTCATTATTTTATAAAAATAAAATTTTTATAAAAGTGGCATAAGAAAGACAGTTATATTTTTTAAAATTTTACATCCCTTCTAAGTACTTAGATATTAGTAAATAGATTACTAATATTTTGTAAAGGTAACAAGTTTTGATACTTGACTGTTGTTGGTGTAGTAATGTCAGTTCAAGAAAGTTCTTTATGTTTAATTAAATGTAGTATGTACAATCATTGGGGAAGTTGCCTGGATAAGCAAGCCAATGACATAGCTTGTTTCATATGAAACAGCATACGTCTCAGTTTGCTTATCCAGCTGTGTATTCTTTACCAGACATACTCATTGATGCAGCTCATTTGTGTTAAAAGTTGCCCTAACATTACAACAACTAATATCAGTAGTCAAGTACCAAAACTTACCTAGTGTTATGTGAAAATTTGACATGTGAAATAATTTGGAAATATGTTTTGATAATTACCGATTGTGTACTTAAATGGCAGCTACATATTCAAAGTACTCAATATGCAAGATGTTAAATTATTTACATTTTTCTTGGAAGAATTTACAAAACAGATCAATTGTTTTGATTGAAAAAGCATACGTGGATATATGTGATTGTTTCTTATCCGTCCATAAGAAGAAGAGTGCAGAAATTTAATCGGCATTATTCTGGGAGTGAATGAACTTTTTCCAATTGAAAAAATATTCTAAAATTTTATTAAAGTGTTAAAATTTGATTAAATATATGTGCCTAACAATTTGATGATACAAAACTATTCTACTGTATTAAACAATAGATAAAAATTATTGAGAATATTTGATGATATATTTACATTTAAAACTAAAATGTATTTTTAATATTATTATCAAACATGTCAATAATTTTGGGTAATTTACTTGTATTACGTTTATTACTATTAATGGTATTATGTAGATAAGTCATGTAAAAAATTAACTAACTATATTATAATTTTAAATTTTAGAATTATATTACAACCAAATCTAATTAAGCATTAATTTGTTGGTAAAGTATGAATGTGTTATTGCAATTTATTGTTCAGAATACAAAGTGTATATTGTTTCTGAAAATTTGCATTTAAAATTGATATACTGTTACATCACATTTAACTATGCTATGCAAATTTTAGGAAGATTTTTATCACTTATTAGGTATGTCGGTAATTTATTGTTTATCATGTACATAGAATAATTCCGAAGCATATTATTTCTACTGTAAATAGTGTATTTTCCATTAGTGTTTCGTACCAATCTGCCAAGAAGTGACTCGCAGTTTAAACATGTATTTTTTCGAAATTGAATTCAAAGCATTGTAAAAATTAGTCATTAAAATAAAACTTAATTTGAGTTTTCAGTGTTCATTTTTTGTTTGTTCTAATTTTGTTCTCTTTATATCTAAACTTACATACACCTGCAAATAATGCTGTCATCTGCCTTATTTAATTAAAAATTCTTATCCCACGATTTTCCGTTCTTTTTCTTTTCTATTTATATTGAAGAGATGCCAAAACATTACAATAAGACCTCAATCAAATACTGTTTCAATGAAAAAAATTTCTATTAACAATCAAATTAATAGGACAAAACTAGTCATATACCAAAGTTAGATTTGGCAGACGTAACTGCATTTTTTACTAGCTTAATTGTTTATTAGGAGTAATAGATGTATTACTGTAGATTTATTAAAAATGCAAGGCTGTGTTGTTTATATGGCAAGAAGATAAAGAACAATAAGCAAATGACAGAAGGAAGCATACAACCATGCATGGAAAAGAAAATAAAAATGGTAACCATAACTATGAACAAACAAGGATTTAAAAATCTTTCAACTACAAAAAAGTAACTGTTTTTATTTTAGAAAAATTTCAGCCAAATCAGCTGGTGCTCTAAAAATTTACTAATCATTAACAGATGTAGGATGGTCAAACTCAGTTAATCAAGATACACACTTTAAGGTTAAGGTAAATAACCTTAACATATATATCTGTTAATTTAGTTTTGGGCTATCTTGTACATTAGAGCATGTAGTGGGGGGGTCATACGATATAAATTTGTCATTTTTAAATTGATTATATTTTAAAATATTGAAATACAGTATATCATCAAATTATTAAATAGTCTATCTAATCTATAAAATAGCAGATTTTTTTCGTTTAGCTGCTCTTAAATCCATGAAAGATAATCTATATATTGTAATAACGTAATCTCCTGTAACAATAATTCAAATAATTTTTAACAAATACAATAAAAACAGTATTTCATATTAGTTTCCCAATAAATGTCATTTATAAAATGCCATTTACTCTTGGATATAAAAATATAATGCCATTATCATTTCAATTTTACTCATTTTATTGACCGGACTATTTAAGTTAAAACATTTTAGTAAATTATCGATAAAAATGAGAAATTGAGACACTTATACTGTATATAAATATATTTGTAGACAATACAAAAGGAACAGCCATAGAAAGGATATTGACTTGGTACAGCACAGGTGATACATGTTACTCCACCTTGAAATTATTATTGGCCTTACATATAATGCCTACAGCCAATGACTATAACTCTAAAAAAGAAAATCCAATCTTTCATTCTTGTAATCTTGAGAACAGAGAATGTGTGGCTTGCCCCTGTATGTCATACTTTTCCTTTAACAATAGAGTCGTGCCAGTCATCTAACTCAGTGTTTTTCAACCTTCCTGAATACATGACCCCTTTACAAGTTAAAAAATTCTGGCGACCCCCCACAGCCATATTAAAACTATGTCAATGATTTTAAAAACTACGTATTTAATTTTCTTTCTGTTGAGATTTAAATATCGATTAAAATTTTGAGAAAAGATTTAAATCGATTAAAAATCAATTGTACTGTAAAATAAACAGGCACAGCCTTCTCACTGAAATTGTAGTTTTTTATTGTAGTGTATGATGTACAAACACTTGCCTTTTTCTTTTACCCATGATCCCCCATGTATGTCTTTGCGACCCCCCTGGGGGTCACAACCCACAGGTTGAAAAACACTGATTTAACCAACACCTTTTGGAGGAAAATTGAAATAATACTTTCAGTTTGCATTGGAAGTTTGTATATAGTTAATCAGGATCTCCTGCCTCTATGGTTTCCATATCTGGTCTCAACTTTCATGTATCTAACTCCATTCTCAAGATTAAGATGGGCAGATAATGATGGGAATTTATGTCTAAAATTTTTTCAAATTGCAGACCAATAAAATCTACAGGAAAATGTATGAATATAATAAGTGAGTAATTGTATTTACTTGACACACAAAAAATTTATTAAATGTACAGTACTTAAATTACAGTGACAAGTGGAGTGTCACACAATAACATTGTGGTTGTGACAGGCAGCCAGGTGACAAGACGGAAACACATCCAGGAGAGATAGCCCATAAAATTCCTGTGACTATTCACAGGACTCTCTACCAGATTCCACAAAGGGGCTGGATTTTGAGCGGTTGAGGTGGCAGACTACCATGCTGTAGGACCCAGAATTGAATCAGGACGGATCAAAAAAGACAGCAGGGATCTTGAAGTGGTCTGTGCGGATATGTCTAGCCTCGTTCCTCAACACCCAGCTGTTCCATTGTAGGCCTGGCCAACCCATAATGGGCTTTCCAGAGAGACCCTCAGTGCCCACAGGATGGAGAGAGAGAGATAGGGATTCCAAAGCAGTAGGATAAAGTGTTGGTCATCTGGCTGTCTCTCATGATGCTTGGATTCTTGAGGTTTTGCTTTGCAATTTGTTAAAGTTTATTTAACTCTGATAAAATTTTTACGTGGATAACCATATCAAAATTTTAATTATTGTATAAACTGAAATTGATCAAGATTAATATCGATTGATTTCATGTTTGATATATCTGAAACTAATTCAGTTTACATCAAAATCTGATTACGAAAAGTATTATTTTCCTAAAAATCCTTAAATAAATCATACAAATTTTATTGATTACTAGTTGTGTTACCCATCGTTGATGGGAGATACTTATTTTGTGAAATTATATTTACTTACCTAAAGAATATATCTGCAGAGAATTGTTTGTTACAGATTCATAATATACCTATTAATTAAAGATGTGGAATATTTTCTAGATAAACTTATCGAATAACCTCCTGATATGCAACATTTTGTGTTTTATTATTAGGGACACAAATGAATAGAGATTTGCAGCTAATAACATGTGAGCACACAATGTAGAGTTGGCCACATGAAAAGCAATTGCATCCAAGGTCAAGTTTTGCAATTCTAAGGCTTTGGCCTCATGACTTGTTAATGGTTATTACAAAGCATAGACCAACTGGAAATTGTAGGCATTTAAATTTGAATGAGTAGTTTGTCGGGATTAATGGTATGCTATAAATGATATATCTGTCCTTGAATTTTGAATGTTGGCATGAAATTTCTTTCAAGTATTTCAGTGGCACCAAAACTTGTCATTTGGAAGGCACTATTGTAAGCACTTGGATGCGTTTGGAAATTGTAACCGGTCGGTTACAATTTCCAAACGCGCCCCTAATGTTCTTTAAGAAATGTTTAGTGTCAGGATAAGTCCCATTTAATAGTAATAGAAGAGGTTCGAAGGGCAAGAACATCCAGTTTAATTTTGCCAAAAGAGCAGTACATTCTCTGATTCATTTTTCCACTTCAGAGCACTATAGACAGTCTTACCAGTTTAATTTTCCTTGAAGATCGGCCAAGGTTTTCATTTCCGAGTAGGCATAATCTTCACTCACACTACTGTTGCCACCTTTTCAAAATTGCTGGCCCGGACGACAGGTCAGGTTTGTTCAAACAGAAGTTCCTGACACATGCGCAATGTCATTTTACAATGCAAAGAATAACGTGCATACTGGTTCTAAATCAATTACAGTTAGTGACTAGGGACTTGCATAGGAGTAACACAGGTAATCTAAATTAAGAAAGAACAGGTAAAGATAACTTAGTTCTGAGACGTGTACGATCAAACAGTACACGCAAACAAAAATAAAAGAGCGACAGGTTGTATGCTACATATCGGGGTAAACAGACTAACATGGCAGAATTGTAAATGAGTTTCAGTGAGTCTGAGTTCTTTCGCTGTTAAAATAGTGTAAATTTGTAGAAATATTTGCAAGAACTCTGTTTCATCGTAATTTCACAATATCTACGAAATTCCCGGACAAAATTAATAGTTCACCCGGACTGTCCGGGTGTAACACTAGCTCACACAAATACAGCTAGGCCTAACGAATCACGTAACTTTCGAAAACCCCGCCATATTTCCCCATATGTTAACGTACTGCCATCTAGCGTAATGACGTCACTTATTTAAATGCCTCGAAGATTTTTATAATTATTTTTATAACTAATTATTTTTTAATGCCAGTGCTTCAAATATAATACTGTAGTAAACTTCAATAATACACCTTTCTTATAAATAATCCCTTGAAAGGAAGTACAGTACTAATTCGTGTGTCGCCATCTAGTGAAGAGAGAAACAAACAGAAATCTGTTACAATTAATGTACTGTACTGTATATTTTGAGATGATGTGTACTGTACCTATAAACCTTCTGCCGAACAGACGATTCAAAATATGAATTTTGGTTAAAATATGTGATGCGGCAACAAAAATTTTGACCGCTACACTTTTATACATTCTACTTTAAATTACGCTTGCCTCCGATAAGTTTATTTTATAATTAATAACTATAAACGAGGAGATATGTTTTGTATCTTGTATATCTTATTACATTATTGTGAACAAGTACACGAAATATAATTAAGAATTATCTTTATCATTTCTGCACAGAATCAAAAAATGGTCTTGTTCCACTATAATCGGTTTACTTTCTCCTTCATTCAGTTCACAAAGCCTAGAAAATTATTTTTAAATTTTATTATAAAATTAAATTTCATTCTATCATAAACAAATTCTTACTTTTCTTTTAATTCTTTCATTAAACATTCTGCTTTCTCAGGATAATCATTTTTGAAAGCTCGGTAAGGAGAATAACTGTTAATGAATCCAATAAGTGTAACCACAGCAACTTTACTTCTATTTTTTATTCCGGAATGTCTGTTCGAGGATACATTTACATGTAATTTCAAATATCACACGCTTCTTTAATTAAAAAGTGTTTTACTTACTTAATAATATCACCGAATGGAAAATTCACCAAGCTATATTCATTATCTAAATGTTCTAACTTTGGAGACCAATAGTCTCGTAAATTGTCAAAAAATAACTGCAGTATAAATTAGATTATAATTATAATTTTGTACTTAAATTAAGTTTCTTATATTATTTGCAAACATTTAAAATTTGATGAAACCAAAATAATAAAAATTTTCAACCTTTTTCATTAAATCGTTTGCTAATTCCGTTTTCTCATCTGTATCGAATATCACTTTGAATATTCTGTGGTAAGACTGAACGGCTAAAACTCCATTATTCATCAATAATCTTTTGGCTTCTTTTAAAAATTTTTCAATGTCAAACCAATGAAAAGCTGTAACTACGGATAACAAGTCTACAGAATTATCGGCCAGTGGTATATCTTCTGAAGGGCACACACTATAAAGATCGAATGTAAAGTTTTTAATAGCAAAATTTAATTAGACATCCATGGATAAGCACACGAATTGCAATGATCGGATTCTATTGATTGATCGAATAAGGCACGACCGAACTCCCAGTGTTCAGGGAACGAAACCACTTGACCATTGGTGGGCCATTTAGCTTTAGACACATGAAAAATCTTTGAAAATTTCATGTGACCAATTCGTTGGTTAAGCGCGAATCCGCGACTAACTACCAACGTTTAGCGTTTTTCGACTAAAAAATCAAAGGTGTTCAAGACATGACTTACAGTCTAATACTGCGAATTATTCTACTGTATAATTATTTTATTAATTACAGTTATTAAGTTATTTTAAAAAAGGTTTTCTTAGTACTCACAGGGTGGAGAGTGGAAAATATATACTGTATATTATATAGTATATATTTTCCACTCTCCACCCTGTGAGTACTAATATATATATGTTAATATAGTGCTGTAGTCGTGTCAGGGCGCCGTTCTGGTACGATTTTTAAAGCATAGCAAAGCCCTTGTACTTTGTGAACATCTAGGTTGGGTTTTAGACTTTGCACTTCAGCCAAACAAACTAAGAATTATTTATTTCTTGTACAATGTGTTTTGAGATGTGTACCTATAAACCTTCTGCCGAACAGACAAATTCTAAATATGAAGTTTAGTTAAAATACGTTCAGGTGTTTCCCCATGATGCGGCAATAAAAATTTTGACCGCTACACTTTTATACATTCTACTTTAAATTACGCTTGCCTCCGATAAGTTTATTTTGTAATTAATAACTATAAACGAGGCGATACGTTTTGTATCTTTTGCCCTTATAGGTCATTTTTTTAGTATTTACGCTGTTTACAGATATTGCGCCACATAGTCGCGCTTTGTCCATACAAAATTCCAGACTATGACGATTCAAACTCAGGACACCAGTTGGAGCCCTGGCACTTTGTAATTTACGACTACTCCTCTGTATAACTTTTGTATATTTATGTTATGGATTAAGTGAATAATAGAGCATTACGAATAATGATTAAAATGGCTATGCAGCCTAATAACTATTGATTAATTTATTAAATTGACCAGACATTATGAGTACAGCTACATTCCCTTTGGGCAATTTAGTTTAAAAAAATCACTTTATTAAAGATTTTTTTTGAATTATTTAAAAGTATTTTAAAAACAACGTGAGATCTTTTAAAAGTAAGTATTATTAACTGTATTAAACTAATGTGAATGAAAAGTATTGTTAACAAATTTATATTTCAATCAAAAAATCAACTTAAGGGAAACTTCTGGAATGTCATTTTTGTTTTATATAAAAAATTCATTGTTGTTAGTTTAAAAGAAGTCTAAATCTTCCTCTGTTGGTCAATGATTTGTCAGGTATAAAATTCTTTAGTTCAACTTTTAACTTTGCTCCAAACATGACCTCATTGGAGCTGTAGTTTATACCAGTATAATGCACTCGATTTTTAATCAGCTGTACAAAACGTATTCTTTCAGACCATTTGTTAGATTGTTAGTATCCAACCAAAAACTAAGCATATTTTCTACGTCTTGATTACATCTTTCTACTAAACCTTGACTTTGTGAGCGTTTGGGCTTTCTACGCACTAGTTTTAACTCAGGCCACATACTACACAGTTCTTTAATGAAATTAGCGGCAGAGAATTCATCAATATCGTTTTGTAGAATACTCGGTGCACCGAAAATTTTAAAAATGTCTAAAGCAGGGGTCGCCAAAGTGGTCGATATGGACCCCCAGGGGTCGATGCAACATCATTGGGGGTCGATGCGGCTAAGAGGTCGATTAGGGAGTCGACGCAGCTAAGGGGTCGATTAGGGGGTCGACGCAGCTAAGAGGTCACAATCTTTTTTTTTTTTTTTTCTTTTGCTTAGGCATAGACCACACCCACAACGTTTTTTTTCCGCTCATACATATACACTTGTAATAAAACTTTACGGTGGGGGTCAATGTGAGGCTTTGGAAAGTGATTGGGGGTCGACGGTTAAAAAAGTTTGGCGACCCCTGGTCTAAAGGAACATAACTACAAGGGCTGAAGATATAGCCTTTTTAAAGACCGTAGTTGAACGAATTTAGTCAAGTGGTCTTGGTACACGAGTATAAATTTATATTTCTCATCGGCTTGCGATTGCATATCTATAAGGTTGACCTAACATCTCAAGTTCATTTCATTACTTTTAAAATTAGTTTAACTAACAATCCTTTCTTAGCATGTTTTGTTTTTTTCTGACAAATTTCACATAAGTTCAAGTAAATTGTAATCATATCTCGTATCCCTTGTAATATGTTGTAATAACATGTGTAATATGTTATTTTGTACTTAATTCTTTTTCCATACGTTTCCTCTACCATGGTCAATAGCAATATGATCATCATGCAATATCTGAAATATTTCTTCGGTATGAACATAATATTTAATCAAATTACCTTCTTTTATAGGCACAATTAATTTTTCTATTTCTCCCACAGATACATCATCATAGCTACGTAAACACTGATATTTTTCTGGTAACTTCGAAGTCACTTTCATTTTTGTCTTTCACTTTTTGTATCATTGTCAAATACACTGATTTTGTAAAACTTTGACTGTTTTGACCTTTTGCTGCTATTAACTCGTTTAAATCAATTGTTGAAGCAGTTATTCATATCACTTAATGATTACTCCATGATCGTTACTTTTTCAAAGAAAACATTATTTTAAGAGGCAAAAGTAAAATTAAAATGTCGCACAAGATTAACTACTAGTCGCATGGATTTAAAATTTAATACTAAACTCAATAAGCACACGCAACTCAGACGCGTGTTGATTGGCTAATGTATGTCGAATAATCACTCCTCAAGGTATTATCATCACTTTGTCCAACCAAGTGATAGCAGTATTCATAATGACCAGTCAATCTGATCAGTGGCGTAGCTACATATTCAGTGCCCTGGATACGGAGTACCTAATAATAATTATTGCGTATTATATGTATAAAGTGTATTGACAAAACTGTATTGGCAAGTTTAGTTTCATAACAAATAATACATAAAAAATCTTCAAAATTGTTTTCTCGCTTTTTCGTTTGCAAATCGGTCAATCATTTTCTCCAGATCAAGTTGACAAGCTATTGTTTTTTCAATTGATAAAGTAACCAGAGCTAAGACGGTGTTCTGACATTCTAACATGCATAAGTTTTAATTAATTTTAGTTTCGAAAAACTTCGTTCTGCTTTCACTGTCATCGCCGGTAAAGTTAAAAAAAAAAAAAAATGAGACATGCTGCAATAATGTCGGAGAAGCTACTTGAGACTGAAGTGTGAATTAAAAGTAGTTCGGCAACTTCGCGTGTAGAAGTAGTCCCTTTTACTTGAGTATAAACACATTTTAAATCGGAGCAGTTGAGGTCCAAAACTAGGCGAAATGTCAGAGGGATATGCCGATTGTAACAATTCTGATCCTTCCAGAATATTTTTATCAGATGATGCGACAAGATATGCAAGTAATAAGCACTTAAAAAGTGTATATAATTGTCGAACGGATTCAAATCTAATAGTTAATTGATTAATTATTAAATCCAAAAAATTTTTTTATAAATGTTTTTACAAGTTTTTATTTCGCCCTTTCTAACTTGGCGCCCTCGTGATTTGTGGGCCTGGAGCTGTTTGCTCCAACTGCACCACGGTAGCTACGCCTCTGAATCTGATAAATTGTGATAAAAAAAAAAACCTAAAATTTATTACAATGCCCAATTTTGTTTGTCATTGTTCATAATCATTTAGTCCATAACATATATATTTCAAACTATATTTAAAAATTTGATTCTAGAACTAAAATGAATGATTAGAATGATTTAATAAATTAGAAATAANTTTATAAATGTTTTTACAAGTTTTTATTTCGCCCTTTCTAACTTGGCGCCCTCGTGATTTGTGGGCCTGGAGCTGTTTGCTCCAACTGCTCCACGGTAGCTAGCCTCTGAATCTGATAAATTGTGATTAAAAAAAAAACCTAAAATTTATTACAATGCCCAATTTTGTTTGTCATTGTTCATAATCATTTAGTCCATAACATATATATTTCAAACTATATTTAAAAATTTGATTCTAGAACTGAAATGAATGATTAGAATGATTTAATAAATTAGAAATAATGGACAACTAACATAAAATTTACGTTGTCAAACGTGTTACTGTTGTTGGCCTCTTCTATTTGGGCAGCGCTGATATCACATCCGGTAATTCTTTGAAAATACGGTCTCCAAATAAGTGTACTTTGTCCGTTTCCGCATCCAACGTCCAAGATGTGTCTGTAAGGTGATGTAATCTGTAATAAAATATGCATCATGAAAAATAAACATTTTTTTTTTTTATCTTTTGAGTTAACTTCACTAAATTTTGTGCGAGGATCGGTTACAACGTACTTTCTCTCTATTTACGATAGAATCAGCGCACTTTATGCAAATTAGATCGTATAAAGTTCTTACAATAAAAACAAATAAGATATTGTTGTAGAGAAAGTTCAAATGTGTGATAATGCTCGGTATACGATAATGAGAATCAACGAACGATACATTTTCTTTCTAAAACAGAATTACGACCGCCAGAAATTGGATCATGTTATGAGTACGTGGTCAATGATGCGAATTCAAGTGAATACAGTAATACCTCGACTTACGCTACCCCGACTTACGCGAACTTGGAGTTACGCGATTCGTCTTTTGTTTGAGCGCCACGCAATCTCATCGATTCGTCTTTTGTTTGAGCGCCACGCAACTCTCGATTACTCACTCCCCACACTATTGTTCAGCTTACATGTTTGGACGTGTCGCGCGGAATCGACACATAGCTACAATTTATTTTGTGTTTGTTATATCTACGGAGACTTGAGAGACTCTATGTGGTGATTTCTTGTAACCGTGAACTTGTAACCGTCTTTTGATTCAAAAGACGAGATAAGATTAACGAGAACATTTATTAACCTACATACATCCGACTTGGATTTTACACAAATTGCGAAATTATACCCCGACTTACGCGAATTCGACTTACGCGGTTATCGCTCGGTCCCACCCATCGCGTAAGTTCGGAGTATTACTGTATACATTTCTCATCTTACTAAGTCCTCACAATTTCTCGAGGACTTTATATTACATTATAAGATTATGGAATACAAAACCTTCGACTTTGACATATTCTTCCGAACGATGCCGAAGGCAACACAAAATTTACAATTTTGTTTTTTTCTCATCAAACACAGCTTCTTCAATAAAACGCCGTTTAGTTTCTTCTGCGTAAGCAAATATATCACTCGATTTTGTTTTGTTCATAAATAGATACAAAAACTATTCACGTGTACACATACAATGTTAAATGCAAACTTATTTTTGTCTGCCATGTTGCAGATCGACTTATAGTTCATTTCAGTCGCGAATAAGCCTAAAAATGCATTTACATTATCATTTATTAAGTGTACAATAGTCATTAGATCTAAAAAATGGACGCAATTGTCTAAAAACATAAAAGTCCTCTTAACAGCAGGGCAAAAGCAGAAAATAATAAAGACGACGTATTGAAAGTTTGATATTAGTGAAGCGCTCTAAAGAAAAGCGATTACAGCAAAATGCGCCTGTATTTATGTATGGTAATGTTTAAAGGGCTTTGCCAATATATGCTTAATAATAATTAAGTATTTCTTAATTAACCTCGATTACAATATGAACTGGATTGCACAAAATCCGCAAAGTCTACAGTAGGGTTTCTCTAACGAGATCCCGAGATCACGGCTTTTTTTTTGTCCCAGGATATTCTTTTCATCCCGGGAAATCCCGCAAATTTCTTAAAAGTTTACTTTTTTCTTATTTTGTGTCAAGGTTGAGGAAATTTTGCAAATAGAAAGTATAATTAACATAAACTGTCAGAATACTGTACATTTGTATTTATTAACTTTAAGCCTGCTTATCGTGGCATGTCATAGATCAGGGGTGTCCAACCTTTTTGTTTCTCTGGGCCGCACTGGAAGAAGTCAATGAGTTTTGGGCCACAAGTATATATAATATATAGGCCTACTTGTAGCTCAATATACAAGTATATTTAAGGATTAACATGTCTAGATTATAATAATAAGTATTAAAACTTTATCAAGAAACAGAATATTTAACAAAATTACTTCTACAGACACTTTCAATTTTTACTTAGAAACAGATAAATTCATTTATTTGATAAAACGCAAATATTTGGTTTATTTGAGTCTCTGATTAATAAAAAGCGACGAAACACCATTTTAAAGTGCATTTTTATTCAACTAATATATTTATAAATGATATGTAGCCCCAAAAGTAGCCAAAGCGCCAAATGATATTTTTTTTACGTTAAACTAAAAAAAGTAGCCACACATTTGGCGCAACGTAGCCAAATCTTGCAACGCTGGAAGGAATACTAAATAAAGCTGGAGTTTTGACTCAAAGGATTATAGAGCCAAATTCGGAAAAAGAAGAGAAAGGACAAAAGATAAAGAAGTGAGAAAGGTTGGAAAATTAAGACTCAATATTTGCCTAACAGAAGAACTATTTAACCTTTCTGACAACTTTTTATCTTTTGTCCTTTCTCTCCTTTCACCAAATTTGGGTCTATAATCCTTTGAGTCACAACTCCAGCTTTATTTAGTAATCCTTCCTCATTCACACATCTCCAAGTACATGAAAATATTTCATTTCCACTCAACTAAAATATGAATAAAGGTTTATGGCTTTGTGAAACTTCTTTTCTGAGTTTATGCCGTTGAAATAAATAAATAATAAAATTAAAACATTTGTCGGTTTGTTTACACCTTTATTGGGCCACATTGAAACTTGCCTTGGGCCGCATGCGGCCCGCGGGCCGCGGGTTGGACACCCCTGTCATAGATTGTTAATAATCAATATGTAGTCTATTTGTGGCAAGACTGAAAATTCTTTACTTTTCAGAACCTGTAATATGTCGAATAATTGCGCCGATCCTGTCTTAATTTTTAACCATACCCAGTATCTTGAATAACTGCATTACGCCAGATTGTGCAAATTGAGCAAGGATACTAACGAGTACGAAGTATGCAAGTACAGTATGAAGTTTTTCTTCATAAATCTGATTATTAAAGCCAAACAAACTGCCGAATTATCAGCCTATAAGCTCGATGTTGCTATTAAAGCAGCCGAGGTAGACATATCAAGAATAGTAGAGAGCAAAAGAAGTACTACAGCGCATCTGGAAAATGAACTAGAAATCTTCAAGGCTACAGGTGAAACACTTAACATCCGACTTCTCTTAAATGCATTACCGAATCATAAAAGGCACTCTCGGCAGCAAGACTTTTCATTATTAAAATAAGAACCGAATTGAGTGAATTGGGTGATCGAAGTATTGACCATCTTTGCTTTTTAAATCTTATTATAAAAATTTACAATAACATTTTGTATTGTTTTATTTAAAAACGAAAATTACCTTCTATGTTAGAAGTTTGATCTAAGTTCATTTCTTTCTTTAAATTTTCAACTCATTCAAAGGCTTTTTTTTCCTGCTGTTGTTGTAACAGTTTCCAACAAACTTTAATAAATTTTTCTATTTGTGAAAATGTCCACGTAATTCAAATGTAATTTTTATTACAACATTATTATTATTTCAGATTATCAAAAAAATTATTATTACTGTATTTTGGAGGTTGCATAACGTATTAAATAACTTAAAAAATGAAAAATAATTATATCATTCGATTTCGAGATTTATTTTATATCTTAAAATTAATTAATTATATCCCGAAAAACGGTTCACTTTTTCCCGAAATTCCGAGACAAGCAAAGTACTGGGAAATGAGAAACGCTAGCTATACAGACTGGATGCAGACTTCACTTTTTCAGCGAGATTCGATTATAGATCGATAAACTCTAAAAATGGGCACAGTTCTTCACCGAAATAATTTCGAATTTAAAAACTATAAACAACATAAAAAATAAGGCAGGCAATTGTAACGATGAAAAATATGCATTATTTTCTTTTCTCTTCATTTGTACGCATCATTATAATATTAAGTTATTATAATGGAAAAACAATCTGCTAATTAACCAACAATTTTATAAACAGAATATGTTACAAAATTCGCGTCGCATCAATCTCGATTTTTCAATCAATCAACCGCCATTTTGCTTCACGCGTCGCTTACAATATGGCGGAAATAACTGGTAACGTTAGAAAAAAAATAAATAAAAAATATTTAAATCGGAAAGCAGATGTAAATATTTTTTAACAATAAAAGCAACTCCGTTAATTAATAGCAACATATTTGTAATTTATAAAAAAAGTGAAATATTTAAATAATTTATTAAAAATTATCAATTTACCTTTTCTCCTAAGTATTCTATTACTTTATCGGTAATAACTTGAGGCGGATTTGGTCGGTATTTTGCGTAAAAAGAAGCATGTTCTTTTTCTTCAAACTTTCCAGCAGCCATAGCTAATGACGAAAACGTGTAGTAACACTTCTTCTCTTACGAAAATTCAAGTAGCATGTCAACCACGTGATCCGATAAAATTTATCTTTACAATAAATTAATGTTATCAATGAAATTACCAAACAGATATAAAAATTAAGCAAAAATTAATATTAATTACATTTTATATATTTTTTTAATTTAAATATATAGATGTAAATATCGTCTTTTGATACCTATATTTTGCATTATAAATTACCATCGTCAAAATTTATGAACAAAAAAAAAAATGTTTTTCAATCCTTGATGTCCCATACATGAAATAAAACAGTTTTAATAATTTTTATAAATTAATTTATAAAAGTTAACTTATATTAAAATTTTTTTATTTTAAAATATTAACAGTAATTCACTTTAAAAGAATTGCAACTCTTATGTATGACATATGAGATAAAACTAATGATTTACTTTGTTATAATTAATTTGTATTCAACTATTTGGAGAATTATTTATTGAGTAACCAGCCTATCAAGCTTGCATTAGTAATAAAATCCAAGTTTAAAAATAATTTTTTAAATTTATTTATGTACTGTAAACTCTTAATTTCTTATAACTAAATACAGTAGTAAAATTCATAACCATTAGCAATTTATTATTTTACTTCAGATTGTCTTCAAAATTATAAAAATGTCTGTTCTGACTACAAAATGACTTATAAAACTAAATAAGTTTTATGAAAAATCCAAATGAATAAAACTTATTGGCAAATGCTTTATATATTTCTAAACAACAATAGTTTCTAAAAAATTATATAAATTATAGATGAAAAAATATGATTATTGTTAATTTTCCTAGTTTTTTTTATTTTTAGCTTTAATTTTAATATCATTTTCTTGCAATTAAATATTAAAAGTCAAGTTTTTCATGTTAAGTTGCTAAATTTATTTTAAAAACATTACATTGGCATAAGTTCTGGATGTAGCTTATGTAATGTTTGTTTTCATTTATTTAATTTTCATAACTGACCGGTGATAAAAAATCTTTCTTTATAGCAAAAATACACTATAATTGGTTGAGAAAAATTTTTTAAATTAATAACATCTTGTCAACTTAATTAGTATCATTTGCAATTAATTATACAAAACAACAAAAAGATTTATAGCAACTTGTCAATAATGCATTGCTTTTTAATTTAAGTAATTAGTTTTGGTTCATCAGATATATTATTTTACAATTTTCCAATTCAAATCTTTATTGATGAGTCAATCAATCTTCTGCATCAGCAGATACGAAAAGAAAAAATATAATATGAATATATTCAACTTAAGCATAATGATTAAACATTAATTTTTTTGAATTTTACATATATATATATATGGTTTGTTTAGACCAGCAGTTGCCAACTGTGTGGTCTGTGGAGAAATTTGGACATTGATCAACTCAAGGTTACATGAAGTATTATATTGAAAAAATGCAAAATGCTTGGTTGCTTTTTTCACTCATTGGGAGTTTTTATTTGAATCTAAAACCAAACATAAAACGAATGTTATCAATAAATAATAATGTCAATAAATCAATAAGTAATATCAGTATGATTGTCCTCCTTCATGGAAAGGAACCAAGAATACATAAACTTATATCAAATAAGCTGCAACAAACTTTGCATCATTTGTTATGAAATTATTACAAAAGTTGCTTCTAGCCCTTGGTATAATTATATTAATTAAATTATCAACAACCATGATTTGTGCCCATCATTTGTCTGATAAGCCCTCACTATTATCTGCCTCACAGTTGTTGATAATTTAATTAATATAATCATTTGTTATAATTAAACAAGTGAATTTCATATTAATAAACTAAAATGGAACTTTTATGATCATTATTCTATAGATGTTTGTATTGTTTAAAAAAATTCAGGTTAGTGGGATTCAAAATTATGACTTTAGTGGTCTGTGACATCAGGAAGGTTGGAAATCGCTGGTTTAGACATCAAATACTGTAATACATTTCTTGAATTCCATCAAAAATGTCATATCTTAATACTCTACAGTTTGAACACTTTTTTAAATCTTGAATATCTTCACAGAATATGCAAGTATTTGGAAACAGGAAAAAAATTTGATTTGTGTGTCTGACATGGAATTTATTCAGTCTAATTTGTAACATTAAGAAAGGTTATATGAAGAATTTATGATGAAAGGATTTATAATTAAATAAATATTGAATAAGCATATGACAAATATTCAGATGATCAACAATAAAATGCCAATCTATATATTTTCTATTAATCTACTTGGCTAATCATTTAGCCACCAACTTTTCATTTGTGATTAATCTTGGCAATTTTTATATTCCTCTAGAATTCATATATGATTAAAATATGTATATATTTCAATTTCTCATAGCAATTTAAACCAAGAAGTGTTGCTATTGTGAAATTGAACTAAATATGTACTTTTTCGATAATTGAAATTCTAGACAGAATTTTGTAATAGTCTGTGAAATAATATTTGTAATGATCTATTTATGCTCATTATAAATCATAACAATCAAAAACTATACCCAAATATTTAAGCCATCTACTATCTCTTACAGAGTATCCTTCAAATACCATTAATCAAACTTCTGCAAACATCTTTACAACACCATAATTTTTTAGTTATTTAAATCTTTTTCACTATATCTATAAAGCTTATCAATTTTCCTGCACAGAACATCTTATCCTAGACAAGAGTACAATATAATCTATGTAAATGAATAAAATTGAAAAACACCAATAGAAAAATGATTATCCTCAGAATGTCAAAACATTTATGGAAATCAGATATATAAAATATGAACAAATGTAGACTTAAGTACACTCAAGTAAACTCCTTGTGATTGAAAATGTTTTAGAGTACAACATTCCATAATTATTTATTAGTTTTTAACCATATATATTATACAAGTTTTTTATTGATATTTTATATTTATAGTATGTTATATATATGTTTTGTGATTGTGTGAAGATTTTACTAATTTAAATAACTAATAAAATGAATAAATTGTCAGATTTTAGTTTTGTAAAATCCTTATTTACACAATTAAGTAATTTTAAAACAAATGAAATGAAATTCTCAATTTTAATAAAATATATAGTTATATTTTCTTGTGCATCTTAAATATATATTATGTGAGCATTATTCAGTAATACATTATAAAAATTAATATCTATAAATAAATATCCTCTCTAAAGAACTAAATTTGAAAACATGAAAGCTTTATCAGCAAAACAGATTCAGTCATTATATACAGGTCAATTAATACCAATTTAATTTTAATTAAATGGGTAGATTATCAACATTTATACTAAAATAAATGTAATTATTTTTGATGTTGAAGATGTTTGTTAGAAATTTATTGGCATTGTATTTCATTTTAATTCTTAGTCAGTTTTAGTTAATAGTTTCATTTTAGATTAGAATGAACAATTTTCAAACTAAGAAATGTTCTTTTTCTTATCTCTGCTGCAATATGTATAAGATATGCTGTACTTTTGTATGCGTACAGGCTAACTTGTTTAATATATTTTAATACAAGTAATATGACAATAATTTTGATTATTCAAGATTATATCACTTATTTTTATAATTTGAATTTGATCTATTGAAGCATACTGTTTCATTTAAAATGTGCAATTTTATATATTAACATGTTCAATGCCTGTTTATTTTTCTTACAATCTGAAAATGGGATAAATTTATCCCAAAAATGTTAATCTAAGAAATATTTTCTGCCCACTTGAAACTTTTGCAGCATTTATGCTGTAAATATAAACACCTTCACATAAAATACAAAAGTCATGTTTAATATATAAAATTATAAAAATTTTGAAGAAAGGAATCTTCAAATAAACTATTTTTGCTTATATTTGTATTTGAATCCTAAACTAGAAAATTATACATAAAATATCTGTTTTGTTTAAAAACATTTAGAAATATGATCAAAGTTATGCTTTGAAAAACAAACATAAAAACTCTAAAGTAAAGAATACAAAGCCACTTATTAGGTTATTTTAAGGTTAATTTGGCATATCATTTGGCTTTAATCAATTAAATTGAGTTTTGAGTTGATGTTTACATTAAAAAAAACACTTAACAGTGGGCAAGGTTAAAAGAAATTGCTAACTTTTGACTCAATTAACAGGCTATATTCACATGTGGATAGATAGAAAATATAACGCTAGTGTTGAATAGGAAAGTTAGAATAAAATAAACAAGGAAAGGTGGATTATAATGATGAGTGATGTAAAAGATTAAGGAAATATGTAGGTAGGGGAATGTCTTCTACTTCTCCAACGTTACCCAGTCTTGTCACCTGGCGACACTAGGCACTTATCTATCATGTTTTGAAGCTGCATTGGTTCTTAGAATAAGAAGCAATGCAGCTAGCTCCATTTCAAAACATATAATAGATAAGTGACCAGAATACAACCAGGTGAATGACCACCCTGCTAATAATTAAATACAGTGGCTAGTTCAATTTTGCAAAAACAAACATTTTTTAATTCATAGCTACAACATATAACAACAAAATGATTGCTGTATGTTAATAAATTAATTTATTATAGGTTATGAATATTTTCTTTCATATCTACATATATGATGAATAGACAGCAAACATATAGTCCCTTAAAAGTGGCGTTGTAGGTACTTAAAATAAGCTCTTAAATTGCATCATTTACACTTTATAAACAAAAAATAGGCAGTCAAAATTTGCACAATGAACAATTAACCTACTTATTATGACGATGAATTTTTTATTTAACATATGTATTCCAAACAAAAATGCACATATTCAGAATGATGCAAACACAAAAGTAGATAAACAATTATCTTTGCATTTTTTATTCGCTCTGTTTCCATAGTTAGCTTCATAATATATTGCAAGCACTTTTTCCAAATTTTCAACAGAAAAGTTGCAACGTTTGTCACTGAGAATTAATTTATATGCAGAGAAAGAGCATATAATCCATTTTGAAGCACTGCTTTCAACTTTTTCTTCACTTTTTTTGCAGCAGTTCCTGGTGCATCACAAAGTTTCTGCTTTGCTCTGTTGAGATCAATTTGTTCATATATAGTTTCCCACTACTTTCAAGAGCAGTAATAGTATCTGCAATGAATGTGAAATAACACTTGATGTACATCAACTTGTTCTGAACATAAATGTCATTCAAAATTTTCTTGGCTTTAGTTACACAAACTGCATTGTCCGCTAAAGTGGCAAGAAGTTTTTTGATATCAAAGAAATGTTCACTGTAGTAGTTAGTAGAAAATCTTAGCCATGTATATGCTAAGGAAAAAATAGGCATTTGCCTAAAATCTGCTGTCTAAAAATGACAAATAAAGTATCTCTAACGCTATGTTTATTAAATAAAAGTATTTATTTTAAAATATTTCATATAGTTTTAATTTTATTACTATAAAATTGCATCAGTGAGTGTAATTTATTTCTGTTATTATTGCATTCTAATTTTTTCTCCTTGGGATATGCATCCCCTGGGACTTATATTTAAGTAATCAATAATAATAAAAAAATGAATATGTCTGATTGCATTTTCAGGAAAAAAATGAAACTTAAGCAGTTTAATTTAATAATTAAAGTAAACCTTTGCAGAAAATGAAACGAAAAATTAATAAAAACTTTTTAAAAATATGAAAACAGACTAAACTTTGTGTTTTAGGCAAAATAGGCAGCAATGTCAAAATAAGCATTTTCAGGCATTATAAAATACCATTGTCTCGGTCTAAATGTTCATAAAAAGTATTCATACAAAATCTTAGCCATGTATACGCAAAGGAAAAAAATAGGCATTTGCCTAAAATCCGCTGTCTAACGACAAATACTTTACTTCAGATTCAACTTTGTATTAAAATTAATAGCAATCTTACTTGAGTGCTAACCTGTAAATTTTCCAGTTACCTATCATTTATTATTTAGTCAAAAATGTAATTAAAATCTCAACCAGTTTATTTCATTTTAGAAAAATATTTGGAGATGAAATATAGTAAGTTATTAAAACTTTGAACACTTGTAATTCACATTTGTTGTAAGTTACATCTGAATAGATATTCATAATTTTATGCTTATATTTTATATTTCACTCAAAAAAATCTTTTCCTATTAAACATACTTCATTTTTAAAAGTAAAAAAAAAAAAACAATTTTCTTAAAGATTAAAACTTTGAATTAAGATCATGATTAAAACTTGTACAAAACACATCTGTATAATCATTTCACTTATTAAAAGTACCATAAATTTATTAACACATTTTTCATGTTTTAAATGTCAAAAAATTCACTTCACATATATATTATATAATTAGTCTAATTTTTACTTTTATTAACTCTAAAATTTGTATAAATATTTAATAGATTCAGAAAAAAAATTTGAAAATTCATTACATTTTAACAGCTTGCTAATATTTTTCTTTATACTTTAAACTCAAAAAGTCCAACTTTTTGAATTTAATTTCTTTTTAGAGTTTCTATTTTGTAACTCCAGTTAATTATGAAGTTAACTTAATCAACATCTTCATCATCTACATAAACATTTTTCTCAGCCTTGGCAATTTGCAACAATTGTTCAGTAGCAGAGAGGGCTGGAGTATAATGTTCACTCCGTTCCGGGCAAGGAAATTTAGCTAAATTAAGATGTGTAGGTTTATGAATGAAGGGATGCCATACACCTTGAATGCTCGGACTATCTGTATGATGGTATTTCCTTATTCGCACAATGGGTAAGCCAGATTTGTTTTTCATATATTCCAGCCATTTTCTAACTTCGTCTCGGGTGTAGTTTTGACAATATAACCAGTCTTTATTACCATTTAAATACTCGGCACTTATAACGGGTCCTCGATGCCTCCTCGGTTGAAGGTAAACTACGGTCCCGGGATTCTGGCGTGCAAAGTCAATCAATTCTGTTTCTATGAACTCTCTAACACCTTTACTACCGCCGTGACTTTTACAGAACTTTAAAGTTACTCGCTTTAACTGACAGACATATCTACCAACTCCATTTTGAAGAACACTTCTTAAGAAATCACTAGGAATTGTAGCATTCGACATGATGTCCTCACAATATTTTTATTTTTTAAACAAAACCTTCTGTTGCCAGATCTTTACAGTGACGAAAGATTGAGAAAATAGCCAAAAATTCGCCAACCGGAATTTCGGACATCAACACATTAAAGTTACATTCAGAAACTAAATTAATGATGGCCACAATTTCTCTTGTTAGGATCGCAGTAATGATATTCATAAAAAGTAAAACAGTAAAATTAGCTGTGATAAAGATAGTATAAAAATGTTTTAAAAATGTAAAAACACGAAACAGCCGAAAGAGATCAGATCCTTGTGTCAACTTTCACATGTCTCCTTCTATTCTTCTAGCCGATCAAGAGCAATCCTCAGCATGCGGATTTTCTCTTGATCGATTTACATCACTATTTAAAATTATGCCAGAAACCAATATTAAAAATAATGTCCAAATCGTGCACACTTTTTGGTGGGCACTAATTACACGTAAGTGGCTGAACTGAATGCAGATAGCCATTCTACCAATTCTCAATATACTGTATATTTCCAACATTTCTGATTGCAGTATGTAGTATAGTATTATTATTTTTCTTTAACAAGGCATTATCTTATGTGCAAATATAAATTTCTCTACACATTTTTAAATGGGTGTGCAATAAGTCGACAGCCAAAGTAGTTAAAGCATCAACCTGTCGCTCTGAGAATCAGGAAACAAATCCAGGTGAAACACTGAAGAATTTTTATAGGTGGCTTGTCCCGAATATATCTGGTTTCGACCGTCACCATCGGGATGCCTCATTGTGGGTCTACAGAATCCAGGATGAGTATGGACCACCTACGAAAATTCGCCAGGGCTTTTCCTCCATCCGGATCCCCCGAACAGTAAATTGACGCCTTAACTGCCTGATAGAAATTACTTTTAAAAGAGAAGATGAGAGCATTAATAACGTAACAAAACTAGAATTATTTGTTTAACTAACAATATAGCATACATTTATTAAATTAATCGTGTATTAAACAATTAATAAAACACCGTTCCAAATTATCACTATTATATCTGAAAGAGGAAAATGATAATTATTCATGAAGATTAAAGAATTTTATTCACTGATGAGAATTTTTAAAAATAGAACACGCAAAAGGATAAAAGTAACAAATTTATCGATATAATTATTTCTTATATTTATTTACAAATTATTATTTTCGAGTCAATCAATCTTCTGCATCAGCAGATACGAAAAGAAAAAATATAATATGAATATATTCAACTTAAGCATAATGATTAAACATTAATTTTTTTGAATTTTACATATATATATATGGTTTGTTTAGACCAGCAGTTGCCAACTGTGTGGTCTGTGGAGAAATTTGGACATTGATCAACTCAAGGTTACATGAAGTATTATATTGAAAAAATGCAAAATGCTTGGTTGCTTTTTTCACTCATTGGGAGTTTTTATTTGAATCTANAAAATCATCCTCGTTCAAAACGTGATTCGCTATTTTGTTTTTCATAATAACATTAGAAGAAATGGACACATATTTCTTCGAGTGAGATTCAAAATCGTTAATTAATTTTATTAATACAATACTTCATAAGTTTTAATTGTTTAGTTATATAGTAGAAATATCCTAATAATTCAATTAAAATAAGATTGGATCAATGGAATAAGGCAACGCAATACTTCGACGATCTGACAGGGAGAGGTCTTTCTGTAGGAAATTGTAGCATTTCGGTGTTAGACACTTGAAGAAAGCATACAAAATTTCACGGGGCCAGCCCGTTGGTCAGGCACAAATTCGAGACCAATTACCAATGTTTCAGTAATTTTATCCGCTGGGCACCGAAAGACTTAATTACAATAAATAATTACATTAAAAGTGATAGATTACCAAGTGTAGAGTATCTAAGCAAATGTGAGACAAATTGGGATTATTAATTTCAATTAATTTTTTATTCGCGATTAGAGGTTGCGGCCGAAGTTTTCATCGCAAAAACGTGAACATCGGACGTTTAGCGCCACCTTCCTATAAGATTAGAAGTTTGACAATGGCGTTTGGAACGTCGAGCGTGATTTAACTGACGTTCCAAACGCCATTGTCAAACTTCTAGGCTTATAGGATGGAGGCGCTGAACGTCGACGTTCACGTTTTCGCAATGAAAACTTTGGCCGCAATCTATTTGTTATATAAATATCTGTATTCAAATCGGATTCGATCTCATAACATACTTTTGTATGAGTAGTACGAATCGAAGAATCTTTCTTCATCCCTCATCCCTTTCAAAACGATAAATTCTAATTTATGAGTTCATGATTATGTTATTTCGCACAGCTCTGGTGGAAGATTCACGTGCGAATTCTAGTAATGAGATATAAAAGAAAATTGATTGCTATCCAAAGTATCTTGAGAACATATCATGTGAAAGAAATACTCTTAAGAATTATCAAGGTAATTTATAAATGTTATAATTCATTTATGTCACAAATGCATGTTGTCCCAAAAGTCAGTTAACGAAAATATTTTTAAAGATTGGTTTTAAAATGGGTTAAATTAATTTGTATTATTATTAAGTCACTTCGTTACAAGTTTAAAAATATATCTCTGTTAACTAACTTTCGAGCCACAATATATATATAATTACATAAACAAATTTTATAGGATACAGCTTCTAGAATTATTCAGTTATGGTGGATTCGAGTTGAAGTAAAATACAAAATATTAAATCAAGTTCAGGTAATAGAAACTACCTGTAATAAAAAAAAATATATCTTTCATGTTATACAATTTTATTTGCCTACATTTTATAGTTGAATCATTTGATCGCATTGCAATCTCGTTTTAAAATGATGATTGAAAAGTGAAAATATTTACAAATGAAAAACTGTGTCATTATTTTAAAATATATCAGAAAGAATAATAAAAAATCATTACTTCTGCAATATAAAAACAAAGTAAAATTTATTGTAAATAATAAAAATTTATACAGGGTGTGCGTAAAGTTTGAAACCAATAGAAAAAAAATAAGCAAAATCACACATTACTTCATTACTTCGAGGTCCGGTATTATTTCATCTCCCAACATGATAATTATTCCCAATAACAGATGTTTTAAGGAAGAAGGGCACAATGACATGCATGTTCCATTAGCTGCACCATACCAGCATTATGTCAGCTTCTTGTTCTTTGCTGTCGTAAATCAATGAGGATCTTAGACAGACAAGGAGAATTATCTCTACCCGGTCTTACTCAGCACCATTACTCAACCTGTAACGATGAAAAATTTCCTATTGGTTGCACACTTTATGCACTTTGTAGTAATGGACTAATAAATAATTAAATCGTTTTATACAGAATGCTGCCGTAATTAAGCTGCAAAAATTGATAAAACTGTTCTTACTAAATCGCAAGTACAACAAAAATTGGCCTGTTCTGATTAGTTTCCAAGCAGCTATTAGAGGTTGTATCGTTCGAAGCAAAATTATCCTCTTTACTTACGAGTTCATGGTAAGTTTTTTAAAATATAGAAATTTAATTTTAATTTTTTTTTTTATTCTATTATTTCTTGGTGGTTAGCAAAATTCAGCTGTTATTATACAGAGCTGGTGGAGAATGGTCATACAAAGAAAAATTTACCAGAAACTCTATTTCCTAGTACAGAGGTTGCAAAGTTTATCTAGAGGCTATCTGATCAGATCAGATCAAATGAATTTAAAAGCAATCATTATCTTTATGGTAATGTGTTAATTATTAAATAATTTAATATTTCACTTATTTTAAAATAATTTGTATAATTTTGTTTCATAAGAATTCAACGGCTAATAAATTGCAACGTTGGTTTAGAAGGATATGTCGCGATGGCACAGGATTACTGCAGAGAAAAGTTGCGATCGATTTTCAGAGAAAAGTCAAAAGCAATTCGTACGAAGAGTTGAAAAAAAAGGTAAGGCACATTTAATTTTAAACTGCTGATTAAGTATATTAGTATATAAAAACTTTAAAATTCCATTGTTTTGAAGAAAAATGCAGTTACGAGAATAAGAAATTGGAAAAAAATTATATTCTACGGGAAATTTTATTTTAAGCAAATTAAAGTTATACAACATGCAGTAAGAAATTATCTTTCTATAAAAAATAAAAGACTGAGAATTATGGTAAGTTAGCATATGACTAGAATTTTATCATAATTCTATTGTAAAATGAGATATTTAAGTGTTCTGTGTTGTAATTAAATTGTGTTCAAGAGGATAAATTAAATTAGTCAATTTTGGTAGTTTTCTTGCAATTATGTTCGCTTTTTGATTACTAGTTTTAGTTACTGCTTTAAACATTTGTGACGATTCGGATTCTTGTCGTTTTTGTAACTCCGTGTCTCATTTATAGGTGTGCAGCTCTCTGTTGTGTCAGATTTGTTCACGTCCTCATTGAACACAAGTGATGTGTCATTTTTCTATAAGAATTCTGTCATTTTTTAAAGAGACCAAACTTTTAATCTGTTACGAAGTGTACAAAATCATCCTCGTTCAAAACGTGATTCGCTATTTTGTTTTTCATAATAACATTAGAAGAAATGGACACATATTTCTTCGAGTGAGATTCAAAATCGTTAATTAATTTTATTAATACAATACTTCATAAGTTTTAATTGTTTAGTTATATAGTAGAAATANCGAATCACGAAGAATAAATCACACTTATAGCGCTATCAGATGAAGTTACAAAAAACTGATTAAGCCTATTCTTTATTTTTTAGTACAATATTTAAATAAATTGCATATAATGACAGAGAAACGAAAGCGAAGTTCAAGTTTAACATATAAAGCAGTTTCCGAGGTATGTAATACCTTCAAAGTATATAGAGGGCCTCTTATGTCCACATTTGTCCAAGACCTGGGTTTTGGACAAACCTGAACATAAGAGATACCATATATGCATTTATATAAGTTAAAGCCTGTATCACACAATATTTAATATTGTACAAGCCCAGTGGCGTGCCGAAAATGGACTAGGGGGATTAGGCTAGTCCCCTAAATTCCTTGAAGTACTGTCCAAATATCACTTTTAATGCAGCTGTATTTGAAACCTTTTACATGAAAAATATGTATTTTTTCTTGTATTTTTCCCATCCGTTCTCCCCTCTTTTACGCTGAATTCAACTCTTCCACGAACCAACCTGAACAACTCTCAGGACTCATTTATATCGGAGCTGGGAAAGTAACATTAATGTGCCGATAACATGCAAATAAAATGTTTTTTTTTTCTGGTGTTTAAATAATAATTGTTATAATGTATGAAAAATAAAATTTCTCATATCTGGTCCCTTTTGAAAATTGTCACCGCACACCGCTGTACAAGCCACAGAGTCCCAGTTAGTACAGTATAACATTTCATGACATATAATACTGTACTAACTGGACCAAGACCGTATGAAAGTTTTAGGCCCTATATCTTGAGAATTTAGATTGTTTCTGCCTAAATCGCCAATGAATGCAATACATTTGATATTTATTCTTTATAATAGAGTACGTATAATAAAATTTACAATTATTTTATGTTTTAAGAGACCGAATCGATGGGTAATATATCTGAAACATAATTTGGGTTTAAGAAAATTGGCAAGATCGAGAACAATTTTGAATTGGCCCAAACTTAAAAAGATAATGAAGCGAGTTAAAGTATGGAAATTTATTTTTATGATAAACAATGGATAATAAATGTTGATAATTTCCATTACTTTCAAATAGATAAGGCTTACATTCAAGTTCGCGAAGATAAAACTAATATACGAGAGCCATATTTACGAACGGGAAAAACTAGAACAATTGAGAAACATTCAGGTATTTTAAAATATATTTAAGTGATATTTATTTGAAATATATATATTTTTTAATCTTTTCTAAAGACATTAAAATCCGTTAAAATACAATATTGGTGGAGGATGAATTGTGAAAGACTTTGTTATACCCATTGTTTGAATGCCTTCAACATCCTTCAAAGTGTTTTTCGGAGTTAACTTTTGAGGAAGAAATATAAATTTTTTAAACAAAATGAAAAATTGTACGAATGAATTTTTATTAGAGCCATGTTTTATTGGAGAATGCTTCAGAAGAGAGATCGTGATGCGTTGCTTTTGAATAAATTGAGTTTGATACAATCCGCAATTAGAAGTTTCTTCAATTTCAATAACAAATAAAATATAAAATAAAAATTATTTAATTATTTGTGTTTTATTTTCGTTCATTTAATTCCATTTTTACCTTAATTATTAAATACTAAAAGTTGAAACTGATGCAGTCCAATGGGCGAATCTGTAGGAAATGCAAGGAAGTGATAGGTTTGCAACTTCGATCGAACTCCCAGATGTCCACTTTCCTCGAATCAAGTAATCATTCTCTCAAGAGCTTGTGGAGTATATAATATTGTACAAATATTCAATTTAAAAAAAATTAAAATATAAGCTTAAATACATAAATGACAAAGAGAAATAATGTTTGAATATACTGTAATGTTTTTTTCTGTTCAACGTATAAGGTAGTCAAATATTATTAAATCTTAATTTATTTTATAAAATCATTTATTATTCAATGTATTTTAACCATGATTTTAAATGAGGGTTTATAGCATATACATTGTTGACAGCATACAAAATTTCCCAATATAAAAATTGTGATTACCAACATTTTCTTCACTCCAAAACAAAAACTTATATGTAAATAATGGCAACTAAATGTGTTAATTTATGATCGTTTAAATACTTTTTTTAAACATTTCTACATAAAATTAAATAACAATTTCGCTCCAGTCTAAATTTTCCATTTTCTCCTCCAGCCAATTCCAAAAGTCTAAATAATAATAATAATAATTGATAAAATTAAACAATGATTAAAAATAAAATAATTAAAATTTTGGGATACAATTACCTTTCTTGTAATTGTTTCAACACAGATTCGGCTTTTTCTGGTTGAAGTTCTTTCAAAGTTTGATAGCGAGAGAAAGAGAAAAAGAAACCGATGGCATAATCTACCGTTACTTCAATACTATCTTTTATTCCGGTATGCCTAAATTTGAAATTCATGATATTAATAATTAATTAATTAATTAAGACAAGATGTTCTTACCTGACAACATCGCAAAACGGAAAATCGATAGAAGAAAATTCATTACTGGAATTTACAACTNTTAAAAATAAAATAATTAAAATTTTGGGATACAATTACCTTTCTTGTAATTGTTTCAACACAGATTCGGCTTTTTCTGGTTGACGTTCTTTGAAAGTTTGATAGCGAGAGAAAGAGAAAAAGAAACCGATGACATAATCCACCGTTACTTCAATACTATCTTTTATTCCAGTATGCCTAAATTTCAAATTCGATATTAATATTTAATTAATTAATTTAGACAAAGTGTTCTTACCTGACAACATCGCAAAACGGAAAATTGATAGAAGAAAATTCATTAACGGAATTTATAACGTTTTTCGACATATATTCGTGTAATTTATCATACATTAGCTGTAAGAGATGTTAACATTCACATTTTACAGGATAAACTATAACATAAAACGAATTAAATTATAAAAGAAGTAAATAAAATGAAAGATCAACCTCTTTCAGGATAGCATTTCCTAAAGAAGTTTTCTCATCTGTATCGAATTTCACCCTAACTGTATGATAATTCTGAACGGCTAAAACACCATTTCTGATCAATAATCTCTTTGCTTCTTTGAAAAATTCTTCTATATCGAACCAATGGAGAGCTGTAACTACAGATATCATCTGAACTGAATTATCGGGAAAAGGAATTTTTTCCGAAGGACAAATACTGTGAAAAATAATTTGAAATTAAAAAAATAGATAAGTATAGTTAGCTATAAAAGATGCAAAATGTCTCGAGTTTAAATAAATATTTGTTGCTATCGACAGAAAGTAGTGTTGCAACGAATAGTATATTCGGCCTCAGGCCGAATATCGAATATTCGGCCAGGAGCGTGGCCGAATAGCCGAATATTCGGCTCGATTAACGCACGTACGAAAATTGGCGCGCAAACCGCATTATGGTAAGGACCCTGCTCTCTATTGGCCCGCTGTCACTACGCTTCGCCAATCGCGTTAATTCTTGACAGTTGTAGCAGACAGACAAGAGCGTCATGACAGTATGTTGTGGTGATACACCAGTTGTGTTTTTTTTTATTATATATTTGTATATTGTATTAAGCCTATGATTAAGTTTCCTCGATCTTTTGTTTAACACTTTCTCGAACTTTCTAACGGTCCTGTTTCCCTGCTGATGGTAAAACATTTTCTCAGAACGACAACGAAAAACAAGGGTGTGGAAGTAGGCCCCGAGGCAAGGAGAGAAAGGGTGGGAGGGACTTTTGAGCTAGCGTTGGGAGAGGACGGACAGTGCGAGGAGATCCTGGTCGCCGTAACGAAGGAGAAGGGAGCGATTCCAGGACAACGAGAGCGAGACATCACGGGAAGGAAGGAAGATCACGGTAGTTCATTTTCATCGATGTGAGTGGACTCTGAAGAAAAAGAAGAGACACGGGTACCCCACCAGCAATCTTCCCTTATTTCTCTGATTCTTAATATTAATATTTTCCCTTAATTCTACTGTCTCATTTAGTATATAGATTAGGTTAAGTTAGGTTAAGATAGGTTAAGTACAGTTTAAAATTGTCGCGAAGTACTGTTGCACTCTCTTTCCGATATAATCATATGTTACGCGAGTTGTATGTATCGGAGTTGGGATCACTGAAAATATTGTATACTTGCACGATCAACAATAAAACTTTTGTTGTAGACAAATTCCTTTGTGTTGTCCATCCACGTGCTCTCCACAATGTGATAAATGATGATATCAAATGTGGATAACAACGAAATGACCTACACGTGTAAATAACGGAAAAAGAATAGAGAAAAACAGCGAAGTGAAAATGTGAAAATAAATATGAAATTGAGTTGATAACATAATCGAACAAGTCGGGGCAGCTTATTGGCGCGAAATTCGCGGCCGTCAATGCTGTGACAATGCCGAAGGGCCTCCTTTATGCTTCGGCACCACAGGACAGAAGGGTCGACATCGCGTTGGCGAAGACTGCAATGACTAATATATCAGGACTGACACCACCGTGTCTTATGGGTAGACACAGAGACCGTTATGTTCGCCTTTACACGCGAGCAGTCGCGTCTGAGGGCGGTTGGACTCGGGATGGAGACCAATTGGGCCAAAGAAGTGCACTTTACAATTCGGTTATGGAAAATAATACTCGTTTATTGATTATATAAGCCTAAGCTAGTTACACATATGCTTTAAGAGAGAGAGAGAGTTTACAATTGTTCGAGTGGTATTTACCTGAAGATCGCTCTCTTGATTTGAGTCCTTTTTCGGTGGAGACACGTCCTTAGTGGGTACTTGGGCTCATCGGCTATCTGCGGTTAAGCTTTTGATCGCTGGCTATTGGAGAAACATCGGCGGCGAGATTTATCCGAGTGTATACACACGACCAACCTTAGAGGACGGACAAACTCTTCCGTCCGTCCACTAAGGTTGGAGAAGGTCCATAAAGGAGAAGGTCCGATGACTCGAGTTCGTCGAGTCATCGGACCTTCTCCTTTATTTGGGGGTCCTCCCCTCGCAATTCTTGTCCTTTTTTGGTAAAATCGTTCTTCACGTCCAGTGACGATTTTCGCATTTGATTCCGTGGGAAAGGATATATAATCATATCCGTAGCGACCCTTTTTCTTTCCGAACAAAATTTTTGAATAAAATTTTCCTTTCAAGTCCGGCCTCTCACAATGCCAAACAATTGTTGTCCCAGACTTCGGAAAGCTAAATGCTAATGAAAGTCACTTAGCGTGCTCGGGCGAAAGCCTGGGGCCGTTCGGGCTACCAAGCTGTCTCAAATCTGTGAAATCATTACTAACTTATACCGACGTCCTATCTGTCTGTTTTCTCCGTTATCACCAGGCTATGTAATTGTAAAATGGGAAATCTACGACAGAAAAGAGACGAATGGAAAGTATCGTGAGCGCGTATTATGATGTACTGTACGCATAGGCATATGTGGACTAGAGCAATAGAGGAAAGAGAAAGGGAAGAGCAAAGACCAGCGCTTTGCTCTCCCCTTAGGCAGGGTCAGACCCTCAAATGTGCGACGATTCTCGAACAAATAGGTGTGTACTGTACGTGTGCTGATCTTTGTGAATACATGTGACTAATATTATTTTCTTTTTTTATTTTCTTCATGTTATAAGTTAAAAATAAATATAAACAAATAACACTAATAACATTAAATCTAACCGATAACATTAAATCTAAATACCAAAATGATTAATTTACTGTGTTTTTGTTATTTCTTACTCCTGTTTTTTTAACTCTTTCCGCCCTGTGGGCACTAAGAGGGCCTCTTTTTGCAAGCCCATTATGGGTTCGGCCAGGCCCACAATGGGGCTGCCGGGTAGTGAGGGACGGGGCCCGACATATCTGAACGGATCACCCCCCGAAAAATTCCTGGGGATTTTTTCGACCCGTTCGGATTCGAACCCGGGTCCCCCAGAGCGGTAGGCTGCCTGCCACCTTGACCGCTCGGCCATCCGGCCGCCCTGTTTTTAGGTATTCGGTATTCGGCCGAATAGCGAAAAATAGTTTTTAGATATTCGGTATTCGGTATAGGCCGAATACCGAATAGTAACCGAATATTCGTTACATCACTAACAGAAAGTGAATTAAATATATGGTACAGGATTGAAAGATTGAATATTTTCAGAGAAACAAGACGTTTTCTGGAGTAGCTTTATGTATTAATTTTTGATTTGAAAGAAAAATTACGCGATGCACGATAGTACGAAGAGAATTGTTTACTGGGCACTAATGGTTAATTAAATATAAAATATAAGTGTGTTTTTTAATAATACTTCTGTCTTAGAACAGGGATGGCGTGCTCGGGTTCGTATTTCTAAGCAACTACTGTGCGGGCCTAGAGCGACAGATTTTGAGAGGCGGAAAAATCGGTTGGCTTATTAGTTCGTGAACATCTATTACTTAAGTGAATGATAATTGGTTAAGTTCTAGCTCTTGATCCTCGATCGTGAATATAGCTGTTAGTATTCAAAACTTGAAAATAATTAACTAACACGTAAAATTAATCCGATCCCCGAGAGCGGGGGACTGATTCGCCCATCCTGCCGTCATACATTCGTATTTTCAATTCGGATTATTTTTAATAAACAGAATACAGTATGTAATTTTCAGAGAAACAACTAATTAATAATACGAAATGTTTATAAAGAACTAACATGAAATTCACATTTTCAAACGAACTTTTCTTTCTGGCTTCTTCAATTTGAGCGGAACTGATGTCACACCCGGTAATGTTACGAAAATATGGTTTCCATACAATAGAACTTTGCCCCGTTCCACATCCCACATCCAATACATGTTCATAAGGAGGATTAATCTATATTAAAATTACATGTAAATTATCAAATTTAGTATTCTTTTTATTAATTTTATTTTTAAAATTTAACTACGAGGCTCTTTAACGTCAAAAAGTAAACGTGGCGACTAGCACAAAATTAAATATTTTGAAAGTTATTTTTACCGATTACCGAAACACGAATTACCGATATAATTGGTTAATATAATTATATTTAAAACATACCTTCTCTTCTAAATATTTCAGTATTTTATCAGTGATGAATTGAGGAGGAGAAGGGCGAAACTTTGCGTATGCAGAAGCTTGTTCTAGCCTTTCGAACCCTCTTTCTGCCATGTTTAATCGGTGACGCTAAGGTAAGAGGGATAAGAAAATTGTCAATTCGTTCGTATATCTTATCTGTGGTTTCTAATGTCAAGAAACTGATGTCCGAGATGTTTCTCATTCATGATGATAAAGGCTGATGTAAATGAGTCGATATACTATATTTTATCACGTACCGAGGATTAATGACCTAAATATGATTGAATCTGTAAAATCACTTATCTAAATAATACGATAATATAATTTTAATATCAATAAACTTTGGAACTTGCCCATCAGTTATGTAACGTAAACATGGGTGGGTGGGTAATCGTTACTATCCGTTCCAAGAGTTGGGAGGGTATAATACATAAATGTTAGTTAATGCTAGAATTTCAACCTATGGGTAACGGAATGAGTCATTTTTATTTCTGAAGTGTTTCATAGTGGATCGTACTATTTATGTCACTACTTTATATGTTGTACATTAATAATTATATGTAATTAATAAAATAATGTAACGTTCGGCACCCCGTGCTGTGTATTATTCCTTAACACAATTTTAAGAGGGTTTATAGAGGATACGAGTTACATAAATTTGGGGGTGGATATATGCGACAGCGTTACAGAGGGGTAGGATGGAAGTTGAATATAATTAAATAATGTTTAAACTGATATTACAATTTGAAAATATCAATGTGCAGAGAAAATATGTTTTCTTTTAATCAGAAATAACTTATTTTATCTAGTTTAAATAATGATATAATTCATTTCATTTCATAATTTTCTCTATAAAGATAAGGAGAGTGAAGTTTTAAAATATTTAATATAATTTTAATGCAGAAAGTATAATAATAAAAATGAAAATTTGTTCGTAGTAATATCGAGAAATTATTAAATTTGTTTCTTAAGTTTTACAACATTGTGATAATGCCTTAATAAGTTAACTTTAATTACGATAAAATGTAATTCGTTTGAAATATGTTGACATAAAATAATTATGTAATGAATGAACGAGCATTTAATAAACAATATAATTAATATTATAAATTAATATAGTAATATACATATATTCTATTCTTCTCCCCCTTGTTCATATGGATAATATACATATAAAATATACTGTATATTATAATCTTTTTATATGAATTTAATTGCTAAAATTAATATTTACTATTTACATATATAATGAAAGAAATTGTTTGAAAATTTAAAATTTGCTTTGAAGTTTCTATAAATAATTATGAAATATAGTAATTAGAAAATAAAATAAAAATGATAGAAGCGCCATCAAGTGTCAAAATATATTTACTCTCGTTCAAATTACCGAAGTTGTTTTCGGAAAGCAAAATGGCAACCTTGTAAGAAGGTGAGATTAAATTGAAAGATTTGATCACAAAGTATTCAAATTTAAATTTCGAATTACTTAAAGAACCATGATTTGTAAAGAAGAAGTATGTTTATGGTTCAAATCTCTTAACGGGTCTAAAAGAATAGAAGTTCTATGTTGCTTCTTGAACATGTTGCTTCCATTAGAAATCCGATTCATTGGAAACTGTATAGAAACACTCGGAAGGAAAGATTATCATTATCTCAGGGAATCTGAATGTAATGCTAATGATATTACATACGTATCTACTTTGAAGGATGTAAAGGACAGAATTAGCAGAAGTAAAGTGGTGGTTACTTTAGCTCTTCTCTATTCGTCCAGTCGCCTATGCGCTAATGCTCTTTACAGGATATTGATTGAAGTAAACTTAAATGAATTAGTGCCATTACTTGATGAGAATGACGTGAAAGAAGTCATGCTAATGTTTACTATGGCTGTGAATCATCCTGCTTTCACTCATGATCAAAAGTCAGTTTTAAGAAAACATTTGGATGATTTAGAAGAAATGCTAACTAATACTGCTAAAAAGGTATGTTGTTGATGCTGAGTAAAATTTCTTTAAAATATTCAGTTTGTTTTTCGACTTTTTTTTCAAAATTATAAATTTTTCATAATAGTAATTTTTAATATAAATGTACAGTATGTATGAATACATTTATATTAAAAATTACTATTATGCAAATGTATGTATGTATGCAAATGTATGTATGAATACATACATATATGGATAGTAATACATATATATATGTGTGAGTGTATATATGTACAGGTACAGTATATATAAATAGTACTCTTTGCTTAATGGGACGACAGTCATTTTCACTACTTTTTTTAAGGAAGTCAATACTTTATTTCGTATTTTATAGATATTGAAATAAATATTCATAAAAGAATATAAATACAGAAAAAACTTTATGAAATTAGAGAATTACAAAAAAAATTCTGAAAACATTTGCCGATCAAACTGGTGACATAAACTTGGATATGTCATTTTAATATTGCTGTAAACATTTTATTTTTGGAATGTTGTCTGTGCCACATAAATTCTATTAAATATGAATCTAAATGGTTATGTGAGGTTCCATGATGAATTTTATTCCTCCATTTTACAATCCCCCATAACCTGTTTATATTTTGAGTATGACAGCTGGTGTTAGGGTCCATAAAGTTATACTTATGGTTTACTTGAAAATGGTCATATCTGGCTTCTACTAACTCATCTTTTTAATAAGCTTTCCAACAGTCAGAATATATTATTCTTCCTTCTTTAATGTTTTTTTGAATTTCCTTCATCAATTTTTTGGCAGAACGATCACATACAGCTACTAAAAAACACTTTTTGCTGTGGAAACCCACTGCTGTGGAAGAATGCGTCCCACATTATATTTTCTATGTGTATATAGACTTGTCTATATCTACTATTTTGTTTTCACCACCTATTTTTATGTTAGGATGACAGATTAAAGAGTTTTCACATACCTCCTGTATATAGTTGTTCCAATCTATAGTTTTATTGGGATTGATTCCTAACTGCATTTAGCAGAAATCTTTGGAGGTTAGTTCCAAACACCATAGGTATATGAACTGCATTCAAAAAAGAAATACCTGATCCTTCAAACTAGTTCTTGTTTCTAAAGGCAGCCATACACGTTAAGCTAATCCTCTGAGGCTGCCTGACCTTGAGGAACTTCAGAATTTCCTATCGCCCACACACAAAGAAGAAAATCTCTCAGCAGAGGTGTAACTAGGGTGGGGCAAGTAGGGCACATTTCCTGCAAGTGGTGCCAAATGGTCTCCAAGACAAACAAGATTTGTTTCTGGAAGGGGAGGGGTGCCAATATAGTGTTGTGCCCTGGGCGCCAGTTATGTTCGCTATGCCATTGTCTCTTAGTCAGTCAGTCGGTCATGGCATCTGATAACGACATACTGGCTGTTCTTGGATGTTTATTGGCAACAAATTCTATTAAAATTCATGGGAAAAAAGTATGCGTAGAAGTCTATGGTGTAAATAGTAGTAGTAGTAGTGGTTTGGGTAGCACTGATCACAAAATTAATTTTTCATACGAATAATTTTTAATGGAATTATTTCAGATCAGAAAATTAATTTTTCAAGAAAAATCTTGGGCTATAGATTCTGTTAAAAAGCATCAATTATCAGCAAAGGATCAATGGCAAGTCGATTTTACTACCAAAAAAATTCATGGATTAAATTTTATAGACAAATATTATATTAATAATTCTCAACTACATCCGATATTAGTACAAATTGTAAACATTATTATCGCAAATTAATTTTATAATTTAATAATTAAAAAGAATTTATTAAACTTTGTCTTATTTTAAGTTGTCATGCTTTAATTTACTTGGATATTAAAACAATAAATTTTTTAAAATGTAAAAGAAAATGATATAGAGTGATGTTTTATGAAAACGGAAGAAATGAAATGAGAAGTTTTCTAAATATTAAAATTATTTATAATTTTAATTTACTCGAGAAATTTTTGATGCGAAAATAGTTTATAACCTGAAAAATTAATTTTTTAGTAATAATTTTAAATAATAAAAGTTAATAAGGTTATAGAAAATAATTCTCCCAAACATATGTTTTAATTCTCCCAAACATATGTAGAAAATAATTCTCCCAAACAAAATAATTCAGTCCAAAACTATGCAGGAAAATCAAATGGTTTTTTTGATTCTACTCTGGTGGTCGGTACAGTTTGCCAAAACTGTTAAGTTTTCCCCCATATACTATCAGGAATTTCTCAAGGTCAGGCATGCATGGTTAATCCTTTGAGGATTAACTTAATGTGTATGGCCGCCTTTAATAACATCCTTCTTTTCACAACAGGATTGGGTGTGACATCTCCGTTTTGGGGCTTCATAGGAGGAAAAGTACAATGTATTTTATGTTTACAGTATCTTTCATTATGCAAAATTCCTTTTTCTTGAAAAAAATGAATAGCACTTCCTTCGTCATTTTTTAGTTCCCAAATCGTAAAATCCATTTTCAGTTGAAAACAAAAAAGCACATCAAAAAGAAGAATTACTAAACACATTGAACAAAACTATGCAGTTTCAAAATCTGAGTTACTTCATGCCTATCCATAAATGTAATATAAATAATCACATTACATTAATGATGCAAATATGAGTCACAGTACTATGCAGAGTAAGGTGATGATAAATTAAAAAATGCTGATTTTAAATTTTAATGATTTTCTATTTTAAAATTAAAAAGAAAATAACATTAATTAACATGTTATGCATAAAATAAACAAGAAGCTATGAAAAGTTTCACTTCAACAATTACACTAATGTCAAAATATGCTAATATTTTTCAATATCAAATACAGTGGAACCCCGGTTAACGAATGTAATCCGTTCCACGAGTTCGTTCGTTAACCGAAGAAATTTTTCCCATAGAAATTAATGCAAATACAATTAATCCGTTCTAGACGTCAGTATTTTTGTAATTTTATTTGTAAAATGGGTTTTCTTTAATGAAAATATAGGAAAATGTGCTCATAAACAATCGATCTAGGTTAAATTTCGGAAAAGGAGAAAGATTTGATGAGTATAAAAACATCACATACGGTCGTTAAAGTTCTAAAATGACAGATAGCAGAAACAATAGGCTAAATTATGAGCGAAAGGCTTATAGGTTTATCAACAATCTCTGATCAGAGTCGACGAACAGGTGTCAAATAAATGCCTCGGAACAAACCTTACTCGTGACCTGATCTGGTTTCGATTTTCACCTGGAGACAAAGAAGAAAACAATCGGGAAGCGAGGAATGGGACGCAGGACTAATCGTAAGGTGAGATTCAAGGAAGAAATACTATAAAAATCCCAAATCTCAAGGTCAAAATGCAGTTTTCCTAAAAATTCTATGGCGATTTATCTGTGTCGTCTTCATTTGGATTAAGCCTGAAGTCGTGCCCGCTAAAATTTGTGTTGTGTCTCGCAGACCGTTCCAGTTGTTGCAGCTCTGTCACCTACCATCGCTTGTGACCAAGCGAACCCATCTCGTCCGCTCTGGGGCTACGACTGATCAGCTTGCACTATCGTAGGACCAGCGATACGCCACTCCCCAGTGCCGAGAGAAAATACTGTAGATAAGCCATTTCCAACTACCTCAAATATGTAAGCATCTTCCCGTTCTAATAAACGATTTTCACTGTAAAATACTTGTCATCTTTGTCTCCTCCGCCACACCAACGTACGAATGGATCCTAGACCATCACCGACACACAATTAACCGATTTTCCCTAAAAGCAAGCAAGCTTATAAATTCGACACAAAACGCCGTTAAGTTCGCTATCCGAGACAAAATTTTTCCAAAATAAAAGTTCGTTAACCGATTTGGTCGTTAACCAGGACGTTCGTTAACCGGGGTTCCACTGTATGTATTAACAGTCATTGTTTAAATACATAATTGACTTAAACTTTTTATACAATCTTAGGGAAAAGGGAAAGTTTTCAATGTAATTAACTATATATACAATTTAATGTAAAATAAAAAAAATTAGGATGTAAATGCGACTCAGATTTCATTGATTGACTGGCATCCTGTTAACTGAAGAGTACCATATAAATTAATATGGATTTTTGTATATATCTATATTCATATGTAATACATACATACATACACAGACTTTGACAAGTGATAAAAATCTAACGAACTGCTATGTTGTGTTAAAAATAACAAGATGAATCTTATTATTGCCATGGATATTTTGCATAATATAATTGTATTTTTTGACAGAATTTAAATGTAATTTTTTAATGACTTTCAATTAGAAGTTCAAATGAAGTTATTCTGAATTAGAAATATATATAATTGATTAAAAAAAACTCCCACTCAAAACTGAATTAAAAGCACTAAAAAACCTAAAATCCAGCAAATTTTTTAATAAGTGTTGATATTTTTGTCTGTTCAACATGGGTGAAAATGTTAGCATTATTAAAAAATTTGCTGGATGTTAAGTTTTTTAGCACTTTTAAAAAAACTCCATTAAAAATGTTAAATATTGAAGACTAAATACAGAAACAAAGATTTTTTTTGTATTTATTCTTCAATATTATTGTACATTTTTAAAATAGTGTGCATTATACATTTTTTTAAATATATAAGTTAATTCATTGTTTTTAATTCAAGAATGGATCATGAATAATGATTTTCATTTACCTCAGCAGGATAATTCAAAATAAATCAACAAACACCTTTTAGGCTGTTGGGATTTGCTTTTATTTAGTAAATGTTTTCAACCTAGTCTAATAGGCCATCTTCAGACAAACAATCTTTCTTGGAACATATTTTACCATTAAATATTGTTCCAAAATAGAACACAAAAAAGAATAACTAAGTTTAAATATTTGAATATAAAGCCAAAAGAACTAAAAATTAATAGAAATAACAAATAACAGTAAAATGTAAAATAACTCAAAAATATACAAAAAATATAGTAGAAATGAAGCAATTATGACCTTCTAACAAACTTATTCTGTACAATGTATTTCCATGC